GTATTTGCGGAGAGGATGTAGGACTCGGGAGCTATAATAGGTTTGGTAACCAGGCTACAATGTAGGACTCGGGAGCTATAATAGGTTTGGTAACCAGGCTATGCGTAATTACCCTAATTATCCCTGCCAGGTTTGGGAGCGGCAGGAAGGCAATCGGCGCGACCCCTCCCCCCACGGCGGCGCCGGAAGACAACAGCTCATCGGAAAGTGACGTGTCGAGCGAGGATGACCTGACGTCATCGGCCACTCCCATCAGCCCCCTGTCCTCCAGCTCTACACACGTCTCCTTCAAGGTCAGTGTTATACAGTCATGTAACTACATACAACTCCTAATGTTGTCCCAAGCCATGACAGAACACTAACATTGTCTTAGAAAAGATGCCCTAAATGTTATGGGCAAGAGTAACGTCAGTTATGTATGTTTGTTTTTTCTTTGCCCGTACCAGGACTTGTTCCAAACCATGAAGGAGACGTATGGTGTTTCTATCAACAACATGGAGGCCATGGACAGGAAGGACCTGGCCGTGTACAGGAGGTATATGATATGTTACTTTCCTGGGCCCTTTTCCCTTTTACTGTCTTAAATTAAAAGTATCCTATAGTGTACAATGGTTGCAAAGTCTTCCTTAATAATAGACTTCATTACAGCCCTGCATGATTGTATGTTTACATGAACACCTCTTGCAATTATCTATTCGTTGTCCTTTGTACACCTTAGATAATTGTGTGCCATGTTATGAAGACATCAATTAATTTGCCTTTTATTCAATGTGTACAAATTGTGTGTTTTAAAAGAAGGCATCTTAGTAAGAAGTAAAATCCTTTTTTGTGCTTTCCCCCACAGATATGTAATGATTGGGCTGAATGCCTCCAAGCAGTTTACTGACCCAAAAGGAGTTCCACGGGCCAGGAAGGCCTTGACTGAGTTGTAAGTAGTCTTAAGAGCTTTATATGAAGACTTCTTTACATAAATGTGTAATTTTATTTGCTGTCCTGACTTGTGAGTCTATGGATCCATGTTAGAAGCAGTAGAAGAGTTACAAGATGTAGCATTTGTGTAAGCAACCCCTAGAAAAGACCATTCTAAACAAGACACTGAAAAGTTTTTCTCTCTCCCAGCTACCCCACCAGTGCGTTCAAGATAGACAGCTCCAGAGAAGTCATCCCTCCCACTGTGGACAAACGGTCCAAGAAAGTTTACGAGGACTACTTGGAACTGGGAAAGACGGGTCATACCAAACCCATCACAAGGGAGGACTTTGAAGTGTACAGGGGGTATGTCAGTAAAAAATACAAGTAAAACATAGGAAAGTTTTATCCAGCAGCTGTTGCAAACATGTATTTTTTTTATAAAAACAAAACTGTGAAATTGTAATAGTCTTGTTGTATATTTAACAGTACTAGCATAGTGTGTTTTAACACTTTAGAATATGTGCTTGAAGTCAATGTATGATATAGGTTAAGAGGAAATATGCTGTATACAATGTATGTGCAATAATATCTAAACAATGTATTGGAGATAGATAGTTGCAATATAGAATATTGTTGGAATCAGAAAAGGATTGAGAAGTATGACTCTCAAAAATGAGGAGGAGGCATTATATGCATTGTTAAATATAATGCAATGGTCTTGTTCAGATTTACTCAACAAAGTCAAAGGGAACATTTTAAGAAACAAAGTTAGGTAAGGAATATGTATCGAATACGATATCTTTGCAGTATGAATTAAAGGCAAATACAATTTCTTTGACTATGTCTCCTGTGTATATTCATGTTAAGAGCAGTGTATAGAAATGTCAAATAGACACTTCAATTGACAATTGCTACATGTTAGAGAATTAGAATGGTGGCTCGAATCAATTAGGAATGTATATCATGTCAAAGCACTACATTTACTGGTAGTCTTTGTAGTCACCATCCTGTTGGCAGTTTTGGCACACGTAGCATTAACATTACAACTGTACTGTAACATGCTTTTGTACTAATATCATTACAGTAACTATAGTTTTATCAGATAGTTGAACCAATAAGGTCAACGGATTTAAACCACTGATGTCGGAACCTTGTGCTTTGGCATGGGACCTTGCATCTTTCATAGCAAAGACAGCGGCCACAAAGTTTCTTAGCATGCTACAGTCAAGACATCTGTAATCTGTATGCAAATTGATGCGGTGTTATGATTTTTCTGCCTTCTAGGAAAGTGCATTACTTCACTATTTCCTCAACAATACGAAAATGGATGTTTTCGTACGTAGTTGGAAGACGAAAATGATTCTTGGATTTTCACGTGCTAACGCCTGCATTGGCATGACATACGACGATTTCGCTTTCTTGACCATGACTCTGGTGCAGTCATCTGTGCCCGTCAGCTAGCTCACGTACTCCCACAGTTCACAGGCTACCTGCCGCAGCACCTCGCCGTTCACGATGTCCAAGTACTGCCGGTAGAGCCGACAGATCCGGCCGCTGCCGTCCCTGTACCCATGCGGCGTGTTGCCGTCCTGACACGCCACCAGCTCAACCTCGTCCGCCGCCTCCCACCTGCAGGGATCGTGGTCGATGTGGTTCACCAGAACCGTCTCGCCTGCTACTATGTCGAGGTAGGTTGAATCTGGCCTTGTCAGCAAGCGTGGAGTTAAAAATGTGCCAGGCTCCAGATAGTTTGTTCTCCTCGGCCTGATTCTTCTCTCCCACCTTGAAGAACAAGCAGCGTCACTGTGTTTGTCAGTTTTCCTCTTGGATGACTTTCGAAGACCATTGGAGTCAGCAGCATCGATATCGTGAAGTGAGGTATCCGCCCATTCTGTTTGGGACCGAAGAGCATCCCGAATGACAGCCCAACCCTGCTGACTTTCAGTTTCACTCACGTTGATAGTGCTGCCAACCTCGCCGTTTTGCACACGAGCGTCTCTCCCTGATGCCTTTTGCTTCTTTTTTCTCTGTGGTGTCGGCCGAGAAGCAGCGTCAACGTGAGACTCTTGGGGTGTTACACGCGAGTTTCGAGAAGTCCCTCTCCTGGTCCGTGTGTCTGATCTGCAGGTGGCACAAGGAACAGAGCGGCCACGTCTCTGCCTGCCGTCGGCAAGACTGACTGCCTCACCAACCTTCCTCTTCCTTTTAGACTTTGATTGAGAACACTCCGCAAAATCTCCCATTGAAACGTTATCATTGGCTTTTGCTGAAACAGCAATGTTCCTTCGGCGATTGTTCAGTCTTTCGTGTGATGAAGTCTCGCCATTCCGCGAATTGTTATAGCTTTCTTTAACATTTTGTTTCTTTCCTTGGCAGTGCAGTGAAGAGACAACGCTGGCTAGCTTTAACTTCGGTTGTTTACCGTGCCTTGTATCATCAACGGCATTCAGTGAATGGGTGACCTGTTTGGTACGTTTACCAGGTGGTGGATCGGCTCCAGGCGGGACGATCCGATTCCTCTTCAGACTTACGCCGGCGCCCCCACTGACGCCATCCTCACTTGCGTTAACAGAATCCGCCAAATCATTCTTCCTCTTTCTAGGTAGCTTCAACCTAGGATCTCCGTCAGCTTTCTTCTCAACTGCCCTCTTTTGGGGCTCTGTAGCTTCGACACCTCTGTCTTGAAGAGTGACCGGCTTGGATCTTATGTTGGACCGACTCACTGCACCAGGGTCAACTTGAGACAAGTTATGGCTGTCTTCAGAACACGATGCATCGTTTTCTTCAATATCTCTATCTCTGTTCTTTGCCCCGGCAACAGCCGCCTTAAAAGCTGTGGTTGGACCATCGATATCGCTAACCTCATTAGCCCCAACCGCCAAACAGTCAATTGGTATGCTACAGCTAGCGCATGTTGGAACAAGTGTCGCTGAGGGGAGGGAGAGTAAAATTGATATTGTGGTGTGATGTGGCGTCAGAATATTGGAATACTTCCTACGACTAGTACTGAAGGAATTATAAACATAATAACCAAACTAACAATACAATTTTGAAGAGAGCAACAACTAAGCTTTCAGACTTGGAGGCTAAAGTATTCTATGTATGTTTCCTTTGATCAAATTTTGTTGGCGCTTGGCCTCAACTTCATGAGTCAATTGTAGGTGATCATCATAAAATGACAAATGCACTCACTGTGACACTGGTGTCTTTCCACATCCTTCATTTGGAGAGAAGACGCTCTAACTGTCTGATCCTCAGGCATGGCACACAGGAGGCTCCTTTGGTCTTCGTCATGGCCTAATTTCTCTCTCAGCGTGCCCATCTTTACAGGTGTGTCTTAAAGAACCCGTACGCCTCAGCGCTGTAACTTGATATCAGAACCCTTTCACGGGTCATGGAATAAACCCTACCCCTGACGAGCTCATTGTGACGTCATCGGGGGACTGACTGGGTGGTATTGTGGAATGTGGAGCGTCGTTTCTGCGTCAGAACTATGCCATTCTTTAAAGTGTCGTGCAAAAATACGTCAGCGGAAGCGTTACCATCATTCTGACCTACTGCATATTTATTTGCTGGTAGTTTGGTTGTATTCATAGTCACGAGCAGGTTTGTGTGACAATATTTTTGATGCCGAATAGAAAATGTACCAGTGGCTTCGCCTTGGCCTGTGTATGATATGTTCAGCACCAAGGACAGGCCTGTGGTGGGTTGTATTGTGTGCGGATGGTTATGTGTATCATAAAGAACAAGATTGGTTTCTACTTAAGAAAGCCATGAGTATCACGAGTTTGATATTACAGCCTTTGATAGGAACATTGAGTCTTAGCAAGGGATGTTTTCAGAAATGTAGTTTTTTTTTGGTCTATATATAACACCTGTGTCCATAATATCACCAGGGTCCATAATATCGCCACCTTGAGAAATAGTGTGCTTAAAGATATTTTTACTGCAACATACTTTTGGTATGCACTCCTTTACACATCAAATGTACATACCTAGGGTATGTTGCAGTAAAAATATCTTTAAGCACACTATTTCTCAAGGTGGCGATATTATGGACCCTGGTGATATTATGGACACAGATGTTAGATGCTAGGAAGAAACATTACACATTATGCAGTGCGTACTATGCAGTTGTAGAAATAGCTTTGTTATCCGTTATTTTGGCTGGTTTGGCGTACATGTACTCATACAACATATGTTGACCGTGTTTAGCGTCTGGTACACTTCCACATTTGTTCAAGTTTGTTTGCTTCTGACGTTACAGGGGGGTGTTCTAGAACGGAGTTGTACGTAGTAATCATGACTGGACGATATCCATCACCATATAGAAAGAAGTGTTCCTGTAGTTTTTATGTTCACATGTAAGCAGCCAACTGAAAGATCGTTGATAATTTAGATTTTTATTCGCATTTAGACCTGTGTTTTTATTTTGTGATATGTACTATATGTAAGTTACACATAATATCTCTGAGGTATTTCATAGAAAAATAACTGATTTGTGTTTCTTCTAACACTCGACAAAGAATCCACACCAGGCATTGGGTTGTGCAGTGCTACAAGAGTGGCTTTATTAGGAGTAAAAGCAGTACATCAAAATTTTCAATCTGCTACATACATACACGGCCTTTTATGATTTCAATATCACAAGAAATACTTTGGGCAAGCAATCAGCAAAGCAAAAATGTTCACAGAAATACGCAATATATGATCAACAATATTTGCTTCTTGCAAAATAAACATTAGTCTGAGATTTCTTGTTTTTTTTTCTACGAAAGAAGAATAAATTATACAAACAAGCAATACTCTGCCACCCAAACAGGTACAAGTCTCACTAGAACCTGGGTTTTCTGGACTACTGTAATATGTATCACTACATGCTGATCTATTAAACTCTAAACATTTCCATCATTCATTTTGCCCCCCTTGTCTCTCTGAGAAAAATAAATTCCCTTCTAATACGGTGTGACACACACATTCAACAGTTTAAAACAGCTTAGGTTATTCTCATGTCACATGACACAGGAGAGCCATGTTATTTGGTAATTCATTGTTAGGAGCATCATTTTGTTTATAATGTATCTCCTCTATGGTATGTACGGTAAAACCGTCCTACATTTGTCCTGAAGTCGTCTAAATCACAAATGCGATAATTTTTCAAACTGTGTGTGTTAAGTCTAGACATGCTACAAAATAAGTTCATTCTCATCTATAAAGGTTTTTAGTTTCAGGTTTTTTTAATTCATTATAATTCTTGAAATTCTTTAATTCGGCTAATGTAAAGGGAAAATTCAAGACGCTTAAGCTCTTAAAACGTATAGATTTATATAGAAGATGTGACCACAGACTAGAAAGTGCAACTTGCAAAGCAAATTAATATATATTGCATAATGCATAATGTTAACCTTCGCATATGGTCTGCTCTATTAATACTTACTCAAACACACACACACACACACACACACACACACACACACACTCACTCACACACACACACATACACACCTTCGGTAAACATAAAAACAAACAGGAGTTAATGTGTCAGGAACTCACAAATGACCAGGTTCAGTCCAGGTCAGGTCTTGACTTCATGTCGGTACTTCGCGCGAGCTTTGTTCACGTTAGAACAGACATTCACTCGCCTGCAGCATCTGTAGTGGAAAATAAACGTAACAATTTTCACCATCAACTTTCCATCTGCTTCCCACTAACATTTTCTTTCGAGTGACAGTTTTATATTCGTGGTATACTACCGCCCTACTGGCGATTTTCTCCATTACTGTGAACACCAAAATCAACAGTGTTTGTGAAATAAATTCTGTCTTAAAACTTCAACGGTGATTTTCTTTATTACATGAATTTATTACACGAATGAGAATCATTTGCTTTTTCAACGTTTAAGCTTTTTTTTCTATTCAAAACAGCCTCAGCTTCTAGTCTTGCAATATACGAACCTGATGCTGTAACTTGGCAGATGAAGTATTTTCTGTTGGAACAGTGCACATCATTCCACCTGTAAATATAACCTTTGTTGTAAGTACGGTATTCGGCGCAGTCTTCCTGATCACGCACACTGCCCGGGAAATATCCGTCATTGGGCTCGCCCTCTCCCCACCCGTTGTAGCCGGTCCCCAGTGCGGTGCCGTCCATCCATTCCCACTGGCCCTCATGATGTCGCTGACTTAGGCCGAACCAGAACCGGCTGGGTCTTTCTGGTTGCTGATCGCCGATCGACGAGCGGAGATTCCCGCTTGATGCCTTCACGAGGGAGACGAGGAAAGCGTCGATGCCGGAGACACGGGGCATGGCGAGGTCGCCTCCGTCAGCACGGCAGGCGGCAGCCGAGTCGTGGAAGGTCTTGCGTGAAAAGAACACTTTGTAGCAGAGTTGGCGATATTTCTGATAACCGTGGGGGCAGGTCGCTAGAAAACAGAATAAAGGATAACTTTATTGCACAACAATTGAACAGGGTATGGAATCTACTAGTACATATTAACTACACTTTCATAAGGCTAACCTAACTAATACAAGGTAAATTCATATTGTTTTTCTTTCTATACAATGCATCATTTATCATTTCTATTTCCCTATCTTGTTATCAACATTCAATTAAAGTCATTCTACAAACATGGAAGATGCCCCCCCCCCCAAAAAAAGTCGCACTGTAATAGAATATTCCAGAATTATGAATCAGCTACACATTGATACGTCCTTCTACATTTACAAGTGATTACACAATTTAAAGAAAAAACATCAAGAAAGATTACTTCTCAGCGAATAATACAAAGTATAATATTGTATGGGGCAGACAATTTTACTTTGTTTTTCTTTACTATGTACATTGTGCCGACAGTGTGTCTTTATTACATGAAGCTTGAATGAAAGCAAAATTGGAACTAGAAAGGCCGACATTTGCTTGGGAGCAAATACAGCATATTTCAGTCCATAATAGTAGATGAATTAATGATCTTAGGCACATAAAATTGAATGTGTGGGTCATTGCGCACGACTTATGTGCAACGTGACCTCAGGTAACCTGCAATGTTCGATGTGTTCGAGCAGTGTTCGATGGCCAACAGCAGATGGAACGGACCGTTCTATAGGTCGAACGTGGAACGGGTATAGCACTTTTGGCCCTTTTTTGGCTGAAAATAGCCATTAAAGTCCCCCAAATGAGTAATTTAGAAGAAGTGTATGCCAAATATGTGACTGCTATTCTGTAGACACACGTTCAAGGTACCCTTATACCGAATTTCAGATCATTTGGTGGTAATACCAGGGCTCAGGATCCAAAAATCCATTTTTTGTCGAAAAATGCCCCAAAAAACATTCATAAAAAATTTTTCAAAGGCATGTATCAAAAAAATGAAAAAAACGCCTGGGGGCATTGGGCCACTCTACCTCCACGCCAAATTCCAAGTCATTTGGCTGACAAATGACAGAGTTGAATCCCTTTGACTGTTTGGCAGGAGAAGAAGCAGAAACATGAGAGAACACAATATATTTCATCCATACCATATGGTATGGACTGAAATATAACTAGAAAGGCCGACATTTGCTTGGGAGCAAATACAGCATATTTCAGTCCATCTCCCTCCCACGCAAAAGTGGACTATTCCAAACTTATGTGTTCACTTAGAGGGCAACAATAGACACAGTTACAAATGTGGTGATTGATGCAGTCTTACGTGGTGGAACAGCTGCACGCAGATCCTTGACACTCGTCTCTATCTTCCCCAGGCGCTGAGCAAGCACATCATGCATCTTGCGGTAGTTCTCCTGCAGCCCAGTAGGTTTGGATTCAGTCATTACGGCTTCTTCGTGTTCCTTGACTCTGCCTGACAGGCCCTTTATGTCTTTCATTGCCTATAGTTCATGGTTATGCTTTTCAGCTTTATTCTGGCAATAAATTGTTGTCTACTACTAGTAGTGTGCAAACTACCAAATTCAAATTGCCGTGTGTGGGTTATGGGTAATGATTTGATCACTAATATACCTAAGCATGTGTACAATACCACCTCATGTATTTGTAATTATGTTTTCCTCTTCTTCTCCAAACCAATAAGGTCAATGACCTGAATCAGACGTCTGTCACCATGGTAACTGGTGTTGGGTTACATCATTATAGCAGGAGGGATTTATACTCCTGACTCACCATATATATTAATGTGTTTGAGTAAGAATTAACAGAGCAGAGCCTCAGCAGACCAAATGCGAAGGTAAACATTATGCATTTGCTCTGCAAATGTTACCTTTCTAGTTTGTAATGTTTTTATTTACCTGTTGCAGCTCACTTGTCATTTTAGCATTGGTCATTTGAGTCATCGCCTGTAGCTGGCTGATTGACAGGTTCAGATCTGACATGTCCATATCTGTATGAAGTCAAAACAAGTCAACGCCATGACATTCATTGGAGTCAGTGGAGCATTTCGCAAATCTGGTTAAGCTTATCAAAAGGTATCTCTAAATCCCAGACAACCATTCCAAAAGCATAAAAGCAGGGAAGGGGAATGTCCATGTACTACATGTACTAAAATAATGATGCCGTGCAACACGTATTGATATGGCGGCGAAGCATATGAATATTTTGATCAGAAACGAATACCATGTCTACTTCATAACTGAAAATTTGAAAACTCATCGAGTCCAACGAGATAATGTATCATGTGTACTCACGCAACTTGTCAGTGGTCATCCCCGTCTTTTGTTCTTGCTGTTTGACCGACAGTTGTAGGTCTGACACTGTCATCGCTGTATGACGATAGAACGACAACGTGTTGTTTAGAAGACAAGCTGTCACCACTTTACTTGGCCTACATGCTGTCACCACTATACTTCGCCTATATGTTCACTTAGAGGGCTTTAATCTCATAAATCAACATCAGACAGTTACATGTTAAAACAGCACAGCACTCACCCAGAAAGATAACAGCCCCGAGCAGACAGCAGTTCAGCACCAGGGACAGCACGGAGATGGTCTTCTTCACGGCGCTGGTCCAGACTCGGGACTGACCGGGGTTTCTCATGCCGACCCCTGGGATGTAGCCTGTGGCGGCATCATCGGTAGAGGGTTCTGTAGATATGACATATCCGGTATCGGCCTTGTGAGTAGTTTCAGTAGACTCAGAGTGTGCAAAGTGTATCGTTATTATTTTTATGGGGCTTTCCGTGGGATACGACGTACACAACTGCTGACGCGCGCCATCTACAAAATATGGCTAGAACGATAACTATATTGCAACATGTTCAGACCTCTAGTCATCATGCATGAACAAACGGTTGAAGTTTAGCTTTCCTATTCTTCTGTATTCAATCAGGGATTTCTATTCTTGCAGTATCTGTTTGTTGCCCTGTCCTATTTAAGAGATGTTTTGAAGTGAAAGCAATTTCTTTGTGGCCCTATTAACAGAGAAAAACATTGAAATTATCGTAACATTCAGCCCGTGTCGCCTATATAACTGGAGTAAACACTTGACTGTCGGTGCTAGAAAAAAATCAGTAGAAATAATGTTACTCTCAGTTTCTGATTCAGAGTTATGTCATATTATAATACGATCACAGGTGGTGTTCAGAAATTCTTAGGCCTGCCAGACTGTCCTGATAACTCTGTAGTAAGTTCGTACCTTCAACGTTGTTCTGGCCAGGGGCACTCTTATCGGCCGGGATCCTCGATGGAGAGACCGTGCAGGCCTCCTGGTAGATGTTTTCGTCCATTGCGAACAGCTCTCCTCTATCCACGCGTTCGCACACCCGGCTTGTTTACTCACGAGTGTGAAACCTCACTCTTCCAATCCGAACAAATCTTTTCACGTTTCTCTGTTCTTTTATATGACGCGCAGTAATAGTCTGGCTGCGATTCTATCTATACATAATACAAGTTATTTATTCTCTCTGTGCATTTACCAAGGGTCGCCCAGCTCAGTGATTGACACTGCTTAAGCTTTGTTTTGCTTTGGCTAATTCATGAGAATGAGTCAGACGTACAAAATATGTTTACAGCGTTGAAAACAAATTTTATTTAACCATGCTGTTAAGAACTGCTGTTGTAGGTATCATTTTAGATATTTAGCCAATACACCACACCTGAAGTACCTCATATGCTTCAGTAAATAAAGTTTCATGTATGATTAAAAATAGAGTTGAAAATTAGTGCATACATTTGTTTAAATGACAGGGACACCAGTCTTGTTGGTGTGTCATTCAGCACCAGGGACAGGGACACCAGTCTTGTTGGTGTGTTATTCAGCACCAGGGACAGGGACACCAGTCTTGTTTGTGTGTCATTCAGCACCAGGGACACCAGTCTTGTTGGTGTGTCATTCAGCACCAAGGACACCAGTCTTGTTGGTGTGTCATTCAGCACCAAGGACACCAGTCTTGTTGGTGTGTTATTCAGCACCAAGGACAGGGATACCAGTCTAATTGGTATGTCATTCAGCACCAGGGACAGGGACACCAGTCTTAATGGTGTGTTATTCAGCACCAGGGACAGGGACACCAGTCTTGTTGGTGTGTTATTCAGCACCAAGGACAGGGACACCAGTCTTGTTGGTGTGTTATTCAGCACCAAAGATGGGGACACCAGTCTTGTTGGTGTGTCATTCAGTACCAAGGACAGGGATACCAGTCTTGTTGGTGTGTCATTCAGTACCAGGGACAGGGATACCAGTCTTGTTGGGGTGTCATTCAGCACCAGGGACACCAGTCTTGTTGGGGTGTCATTCAGCACCAGGGACACCGGTCTTGTTGGTGTGTCATTCAGCACCAAGGACAGGGATACCAGTTTTGTTGGTGTGTTATTCAGCACCAAGGACAGGGATACCAGTCTTGTTGGTGTGTCATTCAGTACCAGGGACAGGGACACCAGTCTTGTTGGTGTGTTATTCAGCACCAGGGACAGGGACACCAGTCTTATGAAGACAATAAGGGGATTCAAAACTACACCTGAGCCAAAATACATGTCAACATGAAAACATTTGTTGTATTTTAGCCCAGCTAAAATTCCAGGTACAAAGATGTATACAGCATTTTACATTGATATGTACACATGTTAATGTCTTCCACAACCACTATGTTTGTCTGTGTACTGCACATGAAAATAGTAGGAAAATAGTAGTTTGACCAATGAGAGTGACTCATTCAATGTATAAAAATTTACATAGCCTTACACATATACATTAATATGTACAAAAGTTACTGTATTGCCACATCCACAATGTATATTACACATGATTAGCACACAATAGACTGGTTACAAAACATCACTGTAGTGTGTGTTTGTGTTGGTTGACTGACTAATACTACTTATATACCGATACTTGGCAAATAGTAGTTTGACCAATGAGAGTGGCTCATTCAATGTATAAAATGTACAAAGCATTACACATACATATGTATATATTTGATATGTACAAAAGTTTTTGCCACATCCACTACATTTGTAAATTACACATGATATAGACATGGTTTACTGGTAATGAAACACTTTAACAATGCAGTGTGTGTATGTGTTGTGGACTGACTAATACTAGACTGGTAGTAGGCAAATAGTGGTATGACCAATGAGAGTGGCTGCATGTGCATATTTGCATTTTTTATTATTTTGTTTTGATGGAGGTGGTGGAGCCATAGGATTGGTCTATAGAGACTTCATCTTAGGTAGTGACATAAAGGGAAAGAAAAAATGAAGAAAAGATTTATTAGGAAATTAAATGCAACCAGATCCCCAAATGTATATTTTTTGCCTGAAATTGGCCAATAAAACCAAATAAAACAAGTTTTAAAGGTACCTGTTCCAAGAAAATGAAACAAAAACAATGTCTGGGGGTATATACCCACTCTACCTCCATGCCAAATTTCAGGTCATATGGCTGAAAAAAGTTGAATCCATTTTAAGAAATGGCAGGAGAAGAAGAAGAGGCCATCATGAAACAATACCCCCAAAATGTTTTAAAACTCTTAAAGAATGAGAAGAGATGCTACATGAAAATGTTCAGTCACACAAATGGTGCATGAGGCAAACCCAGTTCAGTCGGAGAGGGCCACACAGTACATCTCCACTTCAGCCAGGGTGGTTCCAGATTGGTACAAGACCTCCCCACACAGACAGCACAGACACAAGGCCCTGCAGACTAGCCCTACCTCCCCACTGCTGACAAGCGGACATGACTGTGGGGTCCGGGGAGGATGGGACCCCATTCCCGACGTCAACTCCCCGGACTACAGAGTCATGTCCGCCAGATGGTGCAGTAGGAGGAGGTAGAGGTAGTAAGCAGGGCCGAGTGTTGACTGTCTGTGGGGTTGACCCTGCCCGCCCCTTCCCCACCCAGCTGCAGTGTAGAGTACTGTCAGGTCCGGTTAACTGGAGCAGGTTTGCCATGAGGACACTGTCAATCAGTGCCAAATTTTACACTTTCATGTGACATTTCTGACTAGTTTTAGGACTGAAATTGCTGTTGTAGTGAAGTTAGTTTAAAAAAATAAAAGATGTTTCAGTTTCACCAACAAAGACCATATTATATAGAAGTTAAATCTACTTAGGAATATTGACTTTGGCAAAACTTGAAGTGAAAACATTGCAAATTGAACAGAGTAGAAATTGTCAAAAGGCAAATGTGTTATCTTACTAATAAAATGTAGTTTGACAAAATTCAATCTTTAGAGACTTTTGATCACAGAGTGTGTCATAATGGAGTGAATTATGTCACATAGATGTTGGATTTGATCTGCTATGGATAACTTTAGGTGGACTGGTAGAAATGGATTTTTACTGTACATAATATCCACACAATACGAAGTTCTGTGCCAGTACATCATGACACATTTTCATGAGCTCTTGCATGCCTTATACATCACAGTTTTTTGACCAGACAACTGATAAACCTTTTCAAAATCTTTGGAAAAAACTTACAAAAGAAATGTGCACTATTGAATTGCGTCTGCTTTTCTTCATTTGCAGGTTGTTACTATGTTAGACGTTATTTTACCTCTGTACAATGACGACAGGTTCCATAGTGTGTTAACTTGTGTATGTGAGAAAGTGTGCGTGCGTGTGTGTGTTGCATGTTTGGCCTCCCATGAAGCATGGGCTGAATCTTCAGGGAGACCAAAACATGCGTGTAAAGGGCGTGTGCATGTGTGCGTGAGTGCATGACATGTTCGGCTACCTGGCCAGGTCAGGGCAAACTGGAGACAGGCAACCAAATCATGTCTGTGTAAGTGTGGGTGCGTGTGTGTGTGCGCGTGCGCGTGTAAGTGTGCACGTCGCTGGCTGTACTGTCTACGGCGTTACAGTAGCAATCCTGTGGTGTTACCAGATTGGCCAGACAGGGCAGTACAACGGAAGGTTTCCATTGCCTGCCTGTACCACTGGTGCGGTCTAGCGCAGGCTAAGTGCTCAGGACCAAAACACCAGGGCACAGTAGAGAGCAGCAACTTACAGTGTCTACTCTAGAAATCCTGAGGATTCTATCAGTTGAACATTGAGATTTGTTATCACTCTTTCTTCTTTCAATAGTCTCAGAGTTTGCACTATTGAGTATTGTTTTAATGTGGTTTACTCCACCGTGACCTGAGGTTTCCATCTCTCCTAACCTCAATCAGCTGACATCCAGCCTGGATTGTTTCATCTCACCTCAGTATTGGGAGTTTTCTGCTGCTCATCCAAAAAGGACATTGTCACAAATGGTGAACTAGTCCATTGTTACAAATGATGAACATAGCCTATTGTCACAAATAGTGACCACTAGTCCATTTTTTCACAAATTCTCAAATGACCCTCGCTCTGTAGTTGCTTCTAATTTTTAACTCAAGGGATCATTAGTCAATGGTTTTCATCAACAGAGTCAGTTTCCATCAATCTTTCTAAGTTTCACTGGGCTGGCATACAGCCAGTCCTCCAGTCGTAAATTCTCACGTCTGTATTAAAAAAAGGGAAGCACTTCCACATGGCGTGGCCTAGTGTGGACTCAAATCCCGCAGGACAGAGCAGCATCTCTCAGTGGTCTGAATATCACCATAAGTGGACTCTTATTGATGGGTGAACTATTCCATTGTCACAAATGGTGTCACCACTAGTCCTTTTTTTCACAAATTCTCAAATGACCCTCCATTGTAGTAGCTTGTACTTTCTAGATTAACTCAGGGGATCATTTGATTAGTCCAATGGTTTTCACCAACAGAGTTGAGTTTTCCATCACTCTCTAAGTTTCACTGGGCTGGCAAATGGCCTGTCCTCCAGTAATTTTTCAGCACTTTCAGCAGTGCAGCCTAGTATGGACTGAAATCCCACAGGACACACTCTAGACTGCTGTGCAGAGCAGCATCTCTCAGTGGTCTAAATATCACCGCAAGTGGACTCCACCCTTATTGCTCAGTCCTGGGTGTAACATCCACCTTCACATACAGTAGACTGCTAGCTACTGTTTAGATATTCACACACACCCCAAAGGGAAACCCCCTCTTTCAGGACATGTACAGCCCCTAATGGAGAGGTAAAGGTTATTTACTGTGTGTGGGCCACACTCCTGGTGGCCTCCCTTTGGATCAGCAGTATACTACTGACTTAAAATATAGCACTTAAAAAGTTGTTGGAAGCACTAATAGAATTCCTTAAGTCCTGGTCTTATTCTAGTAGGGACTGTGTTTGAATGCTATTTGATGAATATAATAGCAGAGTTGTTGCGAGATGACACAAAAGTGCAACAACAGTACTAGCAAACACACCCCTGATCTTACTAATAAAATGACTATTGAAATGTCCATTGCACATACGTTGATGGCCTTTAGATGAAATTTTCAGGCATCATATGACTTTTGTGTGCTTAATGGACATTCCTCTAGTCAGACTTGGCCCTGATACTCATCCCTCATTTGCAGGTGTGTGGTTTCTGGTTTCCCCCCGTTTCTAACAGCAACCTTCAACAAGGGTTAAAACTTTTTCAAACTTTTTTTTTCAATAATTCTGCACTTCAATGGTCAAACATGAGAAATGATGTTTGGAACAATGTTTCAAACTTTTGTTATGTCCTTAAAGTAATAGACTGGTTATGAATTTTATACAAACCAAAGGTGGTTGGGGAAATGGGGAAGTTTTGACCAACAAAGGGTAATTGGGATGTTTCTAGGGGTTTCCATGAAAACTTAACTTGAGAACTGTGAGTTGTACAGTGTTTTTGAACCACCATGTGCACTATGAGGGGTGGCAGGGCGACCAGTGAACTTAGTGTTTCTGCGCAGGGCCGCTCGGACTCTCACAGCGGCGCTTCTGGGGCCGGCTGCCTCTCGTCCTGCGGCGTACTGCTTGCTTCTCTGTTGCCATGGCGTTGTCGGACTTCGCAGTCTCAGCAGGCTTTGGGTTCCTCCGCTGGGGGTGTCAATATATTAAAGTATCAATGATTAGTGTTTGCATATTATATCTTGTTACATTACTATACAAAAAAAGAAAACTTATTGCATTAATTAGAAATTTTCATAACAAAAGTGACAAAAGTGTTTTAAAGACTTATTAAGATTATCAGCATATGCTGGAACTCACTGAGGGGCGGCCAGAGGTGTTGATGGCTGCTGCAGTTCCATTCACGGTCAGACTGGGGCGCTGTGGTGCCAGAGCTGGCAGCTTGGTGGCTATGGGATACAAAGTGGTAGCAAAGTGATGCACCATATGAGTTTCAAGACATTGCAATCATGTTGTTCATTGGAAGAAATATGTGCTTCAAGCATAAATATAAAGCCTTCACTGCTTGATGAAATCTTGATATCAACCAGTGAAAATTTGAGCATTTCTACACAGTTCCTTACCTTAGACTTAGAATAGTTAGTTAGATCATGCACATATGCTGGTGAACATTACATGGAATGTAACTACCTGACAGAAAAAGGACATTGTGCACATATTGAAATCAGGAATGTCTAACTGTTTTTCCTTCACAGCCACCATTCAAAAAAGTACAATCAAGATGTTAGGCCCGGCCAATTTGATTTCTTGGTCCTCAGAATGAAGTCAGGGGCAAATCAGAGAACCAAAAAATCAAATTGCTGTGGCCTGAAGTTTTCACACACTGACTCACCAGTCTTCTCAGGGGGGACATCCCTGGTGGCTGCTTGCTTCCGTCCGTTGTGGCGGACCTCTTCCAGAGTGACGTAGACAGCCTCTTCATCCTCATCGGGATACATCCGGTACTGCGTGTTCTCCGCTCCGTTCTGTCCGCTGACCAGACTGGGCTGCGGGGGCGCTCGACGGCTTTTGGAAGACTTCTTGGACAGGTCGTCGCCAAACATGGCGGTTGTGCGCGTCATTCGGAGCCGCTGATGATCGTGGTTCAAGGGCACGGCAAAGTGGCGCTCCCGCTCGACTTCACGGATCTTCTCCGGTGCGCGGACCTTCTTGCCTCGCCTGACGTACAGCTTTGAGGTGCTCCTGTCTTCCCCAAACATCTGAGTCTGGAGTTTCCTTTGGTAGACTCTCTCTGCATGCTCGTCCAGGGCTCTGTCACGCTCATCCTCAGTGGGGGACGATCTGGCATATCTTAAGACACAAGTCAAGAAGCATACTCTATTACCTCATGAGAAATGGCTAGATATCAGGAAAGATGTCTAGTATAACTGCCAATGAATGATACTTTGCTAATAATCACAAGGTTGTGTAGCTATAAGAACCCAGTTAAATTATTCAAAATGTAAAGCTGAATGTACATGTAGCAATATCCAACATATCAAATATAAGATGTAAAGCTGATATACATGTAGTAGTATCCAGTATCAGATTAAACTGCTGTCTTCACACCATGTATTAAATAAATGTAGTAAATAAATGTAGTAAATAAATGTTACAGTAGTAATGCAGACCTGTTCCTGTTGTTGATAGCGGGTCTCTGAGTTCTCTGGCGTCCGTCTTGTTGATCGTGAGTTGCCTGTTGCTGAAGTCTGCGGGTTTGACGCTCGATGTCCTGCAATGCCTGGTCGACTGTCTGACGGGAGGGGAGGGGGGTAGGGGCGCGGTGCGACTGGTAGGACTCACGGAGCTGGAGTAGTCTTTGGTACGCCATAGTGGCCAAAATATGAATCTGGAACAGCATATATCATTCATTGTAATATTGAAAAAGCATTGAAAATATAGCCACTACTATTTTCCCTGGTGTTCTAGAACGATAAACTACCAACAGAACGTCCAGTCTTTTGCTTGACAAGGTGAAACTATTTGAGTACAAAGATTATTACAACACCACTAGCACATTTGTTTACCCTTAACCTCTCTACTTTATTGTGCAGAAAGTAACATTAATTCACCTCTCCACCCAAACGCCTTAGCTCACGCTAACGAAAAGGGCGAGTCAAAGAAAAAAATTTGCGACTTTCCGAAGTGCCGGCATGCCGCAACTTGTAGGTCACAAAAGACTTTAAAACTGCTTACCGTGATTTAACCAGAAACTGCTGAGTTGTGTTGGACTTGTAATGTTACTGTAGATGGATAGATGTGGTGTTCCTAAGGCTTCTGTACTGGTGCGATCTTCTTTAGTTCAGGCTGTCATAGCTTGTTAGTTGTAGGTTGTTTTGTCGACTGTCCGGTGTCAACAACTGCTGCACTCTCGTGCCATACAATATGGCGTCTCTCAAGGTCTCTCTCACGTCAAAGGACGTCCTTTTGACGCCAATAACCTCCGATTCTGATCAACCTAACCCGGTCCCATGGTGGATACTGTTGGAGAAGGATGTAAGCAATATTTGGGGAACTTTTGGGCGGTTAAAACGCCGTCTGACAGCTAGAACGGTGAATTTTATGGGGAGCCTGAAGCGCACACAGCCGCACGTCTCCTGAGTTGTCAAGATATTCTAGACGTGACGTCACGATTGTTCGAACAATCAGGTTGCCGGGCAACGGCGGGCTCAGGTTACGGCAGGGAGCAACCAATAAACAAACTAACTTGGCAATAAAACAAACAAATTTGCACATTATACAAGTTCAATGAAATGAAATTAGTTTATTGCGAGTACTGTAATAGAAATTATCACAGTAATATGTGTGGTGATTTAAAACTAGCAAGAAAATGAAATCTAATTCTAACTAACGTTAACCGTTACCCCTCGTGGTTTCAATATGCCACATTGTTGGTCAGCGTTATGGGTGGAAATACAAACTTACACGCACACAATTTACAGGTATTCTCGTCCAGTTTCCCTTATAACAACCTACACTAGCGACAGAGTTGGTATACGAGCCGTCAACAGTTAGCCTCGCTGTCCAGTCGTGGTTCGACCATGTGTAATGACACACCGGTAAAGGTTTCCCTGTCCCTGTCCTTGGTGCTGAATGAGATATCTGGACGTTTCACCCTACGTTAGACGATTCGCCGACGAACTTGAGCAGTTACACACATTGACAACTATGCCTATGGGCTCAACATTTTTTTGTCACAGCGTTTTTGGAAAGAAAAGTGAGACCCGTTAATGTCTCAGAAATAAAATGTAATACAACCCACGCTCCACATCTGCTTGGAGATTGCATTTCTGCCCTAGAAGACGCACTTTTCACAACAATGTTTTTTGATAACTGTCATTATTTTCCCCTGTCGTCTTCCCTTGTTGTATCTGTGCATGTTGCATCTCTGAATCAGTCACTGATAATGATTTTAGTCTAAGTTTAGGTCACCGACCCGGTACATTTTTCGTTGGCCAGTGGTTACATGAGAAGCCGTTGTTTGATAATTATGAGCTCAGGCCCTAAGTAAAGCCCATGTCAGACAAATCAACTATAGCATGCCGACTACTATCAACCTTTAATAGATGAAAAATTATTGGGTTTATATTTTTGCAGGAGGAATGGCGTCATCTTGGAATGTATTCATCAATGTATCACAGAGTCTGGGTTCAGGCTCTACTTGCACTCCCATTTAATTCTTTTTTTTTTTACTGAGCACCGATCACGGCACGGAAGGGTGCTGAATTGTTCTAAACACTTGGTGAGATTGAAAAACTTTCACTTTTCGATAGAAAGTTGGTCAAAAATGTTTTCCAGAGGGTTGGCTGGGTGGAACTCCTGTCGACTACATGCGGTACTGCAAGAACAATTAAATATGGCGCGCGTTGAGTGTTGGTCAAAGGTTACTGACAGGACCACTGTGGGGAGGTGAGATATGTTCAGAAATATGATCTGTTGATCAAAGATTGTCGCAAAACATTGTAATTAAAGTAGCAAAGTATGTTTTTATTCTTTATAAACCTTTATGAACCCTTATAAACCTTAAGTCTATTGAATATTTTAAGACTGTTACACTTAGGTTACCCAAATAGACACCCCCATATTGAATGGATTTTCCTCAATTCAAGATGGCGGAGGTTGTGATCGTGTCGGCCGCGCGCACTCCAGTTGGTAAACCGGTCTTTTTCTGTCTTTCTTGTCTTTTTTATTAATCAAAACTTGACCAAATGTAGCTTTAGACTATATACAACTGATTCGACTTGTATTTTTTGTGTCCAGACTTACAGTTTCAAGTTTTTACACAGTGTTTGTTAAAGTTCGTCTGCTAGCTGAGGTTTCCGGGCTCTGATTGGTCGAAAAAGATGGTCTGTCAGATCATCCGATTCAAGAACAATCATTTCCCTCCACGCTCCATTCACAATGGTATCACTAATATCAGTACAGGTTGATATACATACAAAACTTTCAAATGAACTTTAAAAAAAAAGGAATGAAACTATAGGAGATGATCAAATATTATTTTCTTCTACTCAACTAGATCGTGTACATCATTTTTGTGTGAAAATCAGAATATTTCATAATTATGCAAGTTGCTTTCAATAATGAAAACTAACTTTTCTGTACCTGTAGGATCTTTCAATGGCAGCCTGTCCAGTTTGGCTGCCCATGAACTTGGCAGTGTGGTCATCAGGGAAGCTCTGACCAGGGCCAAAGTCAATGGAGAGGATGTGTCAGAGGTCATCATGGGGCAAGCTCTCAGTGCAGGTAAGATTTCACCTCAATTTACTGCACTCAAAACTTTGAATATTGTTGCACTTCCCTCTATTTATGCATTGAGTTCATACCTCCTTCTTCTTTGGCAGTTTAGCAGACTGTATCTGTGTGCCTCTGGAGGGGGGCCCGCATGCCCTTTTCCATAGAGCATAGTCGGCCATAGAATGTAGACGGGCTGCTCTAATTCAACATAATACGTAGCTTCCTGAATTCAGCATAACACCATGGAGTTAAATTTTCTAACTCCATGGTAATACGTAGCCAGCTCTCAAAATTTTGTGTAGAGCATTGTCAGGACTCAACCCCCCCCACCCCCTCCATGCAGGCCCTCCTTGAGTTCTCTTGTGGCTTCTATAGTTTTAATCACATTGTTCATTTAGCATACAAAATGAACATAGAGTGCTGAATATACAAATCTGTTTTTTTCAGGTCAGGGCCAGAACCCAGCCCGCCAGGCTAGCATGGGTGCCTCCCTGCCCCACACTGTCCCAGCCTGGGGAGTGAACATGCTGTGTGGGTCAGGTCTGAAGGCTGTAGCTGTGGGAGTACAGGCCATCAGGAGTGGGGACGCTAGTGTGGTGGTCGCAGGGGGGCAGGAGAGTATGAGCAAGGTAAGGGTCAAGTGTTGGTCTTTTCATTGCCTTTTTTTGACTGAAAATTAGAAGCTTTTAAGTTTTATCAGCTGTAAAAATTCTCCATCACAAATATATGTCAAGCAAAGATTGTTGCTATGCAGACACTACTAAGATAACAAAGTGGAACAACCACCTTTATGAAACTGCAAAGCAGTTATCATGACTTTGTAGTATGTTAACTTATGTTTTTCTAAACCATATACATGTGATGACATGTATGTTGTTTTTACTTGCTACATATAATATCGAATACGTTCCTGAATGTTGTTCAGTTTTACTTCTGTCTCACCTGTTATATTCCATATTTTATTAGTATTTTAAAATGATATTGATGATTTGCCACCCAACCCCCCACCCCTCCCCAGGCCCCACACTGTGTCCACATGCGGTCAGGAGTGAAGTTTGGAGATGTCCATCTTGTAGACACCATGTTAAACGATGGATTGATGGATGCTTTTAACAACTACCACATGGGGATAACAGGTAGGAGGAGGTTATCATCTGTTATTAGATATATCATTTCTATATGACATGCTAGCAAGTACATTTGGACATGTATAGTAGTCCACCATCTTAACCCTTAAAATGTTAAGGCTAATAATATCATTAGGGTTGCTCCTACACAAACCTAGCCTGACATTCAGTACATAGATTAGGGTACTAGTAACACTTGGAGTGTTAATCTAGGAATCAAAACTAACCAGTCCAGGCAATATTCTACATGTATATGCAACAGAATAGCTCTCTTTAGCTATGGAAGGACGTGTCTATTTTTGGTAGACTGTACCAGCAAATAAAAGAAAGACAAAACATGAGTCAGTCAATGGAAGGGTTTCTCCACTGGAGAGATATCATTATCCAGTGGCATGCTGATGTGCAGTTTTCAGAAACAATCAGAAATACGCAACATTTTTTCATTGATTTGACTTTTTTGTGTACATTTTCTCCAGCTGAGAATGTGGCTAAGCAGTGGGGAGTTAGCCGTGAGGAACAGGACAAGTTTGCGCTGGAGTCCCAGCTGAGGACGGAGCAGGCCCAGAAGGACGGGCACTTCAGCCAGGAGATCACACCCGTCACTGTCACGTCTAGGAAAGGTACACACATGCTGAACATAGCTGTTAATCTGTCAGACTACAGATTCTGATTCTTTTGAACGACTGCACATGTTCTTCTGTACATAGCTTCTTATTTGTGACTACTGACATATTCTGATGATCCTATGTCTAAACATATAGCTCCTAATTTGTTATTGCACATTCTGATTCTCTTGTCTCAACAATTAGCTTCAAATTTGTGACTACACATTCTAACTACACACTCTGGCTCTTGATTTCTGACAACACATTCTGACTTTCAATTTTATGCATAATCAGCATTGTATAAATATGACATGCACAAATGGTTTACTCTTTTGTTTAAAATCTGTCATCTCTTGTTTAAAATCTTGTCAATAAATTGGTTACTTGAAACATAATACATTCAATCTTGTCCATCAGGTTCTGTTGAGGTAAAAGTTGATGAGTACCCGAGGCCTGGCTGTGTGTTGGAAGCCATGACCAAACTCAGACCTGCCTTTGTCAAGGATGGGACAGGAACTGTCACTGCTGGCAATGCCTCAGGTTTGCTCTCTTAATCTTATCAAGTTATGGAGATGAAGTTTGTTTTTAGCTTTGGCTCATGATGTTTTGTACTTGTGCATCATGCTATTTTTTTTTCACCATAATGAAGGCTTAAATATTGTTAGATAGTAATTATACAATTGATCTTCTGTAGGTATAAATGATGGAGCAGCTGTGGTAGTACTGATGTCAGCATCAGAGGCCCAGAAGAGAGGACAGACTCCCCTGGCCAGGGTAGTGTCCTGGGCACAGGCTGGGGTGGACCCTTCTATCATGGGCACAGGACCCATACCAGCCATCAGGAAAGCTGTGAGTTATGTTATTATCTGTTAATGATAACATTTCAAACTCTGGTAAAACATGTATCTACCAAAAATCTGAACTGTCACGACAGAGCAATAGATTATGATGTTGATTTTATTATGTCAGTGAAGGTTAGACATCCAGGTAATGAGATATGCCAAAAAAACACTTACTCAAGCAACTGGATATGGTGTTGAAATCATTATGTCCTTTTGGTTTGTAGTTGGAGAAAGCCAACTGGACCAAAGATGAAGTGGACTTGTTTGAACTCAACGAAGCCTTTGCTGCTCAGTCTTTAGCTGTTGTCAAAGATTTTGGCTTGGATGCAAGCAAGGTAATTCTGAATCTTGACATTCTCATTTATTTCTTTCAGTTTTTGTGCATGGTTGCATGTCTAATGTACTATGGACTTTTCTTCAGCTGCTAATGTTAAACGCCACAAAAATTGTGAAATTAAGTCTTAGCAAAAATGAATTAACATTGTCTTAGGTGTGTGAGTGTTATGTAATTGTAATTTGTGTAAATGTTGGTCCCTCATCGATTGTCCACTTGTAGAAAGGGTGCCTTGAACACAGTCTGAAACCATACATGTATTTTATCCACAGGTGAATGTGAATGGAGGAGCCATAGCCATTGGCCATCCCATTGGTGCATCTGGCTCCAGGATCCTGGTCACGCTGCTATACGCCTTACAGAGGACAGGGGGCCGCAGGGGCGTGGCAGCTCTGTGTGTGGGAGGGGGCATGGGGGTAGCCATGTGTGTGGAGAGGCCTTAGATACCAAGGAAGCTAGGGTAGGTCCTTGGATATACTGATAAAAAAAAGAGGACCAAGAAGAGTTGTACAAACTATCTATGATTTGCCACATATCTTTTTAATTAAGATTATTACATGATGTTGATTTTAAAGAATCACACAGTAGATTTTCTGGTAGAAGATACCATCGACTCTGGGGATTTTGAAAAAATTCTGGCGACAGTTCTTGTTTCTCCTATCACATTGGAGATTGGTGACCAGCAAATGTCAGCCAATCTCTAAAAATCATGCAGTGATCTAGAAGATAACAGTAGTATAGCTTTAGAGCTTGCAGACTCATTGGGCAAGCTGTTTTTCTGCTCAGTGTAACATCAATGAAAATATTGCAGCCAGAACTTAATTCTGTAGTGTTGGGTCAATAACTGTCAATGCTAACTTAATCAGCAATGGAAAATTCCAAGCCAGAACTGACAACTGTTACCATACATGGTGGCTAGGCTTCGGATGAATAATTTATCAGACATTGTTGTTAATTGGTTAGGATCGATACAGATTGATATTTGTTTTTTAAAATTGTTTGGCTTGGGGCATCATAAAGGCAGCTATGTAAGTCATATACCATGTATATTACGCTAAGACTTATATAGTAGACTTTCAGTAGATTTAATAAAATTAACATATGCTATGTATGACAGAAAGGGTTTTAATGAATAGTAATTGTCCATAGTAATAATCAATTGAGGGAATATTATAAAGTGATGATAGAAGATTAATAATTCAGCATATACTGTCATTTGCAATTGTTGGTTTATGATTAATATCAATAAATTCAGTTTTCCTTATTGTATTCCCTCTTTATTTTTGCACCAAAATTAAATACTAGTGTTATTAGTATTAATATAAACAATGCCAAATGCGTCTTTGCACACTCTCACACCAAAGAAAAAGAGTAGACGTGTATACATAACAAGGGCTTTTTAAGTCATACATGCATATCGAAGAACAATCTGTAAAACTTGAAAAATTTTAAAATAAAAATAGAGGGTGGGGAGGCAAACTTGAATCTGATATTTTCTCTAATCTCCAAACAGATCTCAGAAGCAAAAGGATACATGCTGGCCAATTTGATACTGTCTTACCCCCACCGAAAGATCTGCTTGGAAATTAATTTCCTCTCCCTAAAACAGTGTGTACCAAGATGCAGATGTTCCCCTCAGACTATTTTGATGTTGATTTTTCAGTTCCACTTTTATTTCTAATCTCGAGCCAACAAATTGAATTATGGTCCCTTATAAGGTGCACCCAGACACCTGTTGTTTACCTCAAACAGGTGATAATGTAATCATTTTAGGTGCCGGGTTGTTTTAAAAAAAGAGCCTGAAAAGTAACAAACGAATGTGCAGTTTTTTTAACAATACTGAACTACATATTAACGTGAATATATTTAGTTACGATGTAGATAAATGTATACTAGATATGACGAATACTTTTGAAATGCACATAGCTTGTAAATATTTCGTGCGTAACCTACTCAGGCACCTTTTCTGTCTTCAATAGACACGGGTCACTAGAAGGTTCTAAAGGAGTAATCTGGTATCGCAATTTGTCAAAAATCAAGATAAGATTTTCCCGCCCGAATATAAACTCTGAAATAAAAGAATTAATGATATGCTGCATGAACATTGCAGAGTACATTTGCATTCGGATTTTTGAAGACAAATGTAAAATTTCTGTAATACAGTATCCACAAAACCCTCAGCACACCCTTACGAAATGTAAGCTCTTGGGGGATGATGATGATGATGACAAAAATGGCGACAACAAACGATGTAGAGTCAGGTTCGGGTGCACCGCCCTCCTTTCCCAACGGCGTGACAGCCCTCCCTGTCCCTCCAGATGCCTCGGAACTCCCGCCGACGTACGAAGAAGCCGTCCACAGCCAGCCTGGAGACGCCCCTCCCTCCTACGCCTCCTTGTTCGGCGAGATACAAGAGGCTAGGAGGGAGTCAGGCGGGTTCGTGGACTTCCTGAAAAAGTTGTTGGTGTTGCTGGCGGGAACCATCGGCTGTACGATCCTCCTGGGACTCCTCATGGCCGTCCCTGTCGCTATGATCGTCCTGGGAGCCATCAACCTACACGACTGCCCCATCCAGCGCATGATACCCATCTACCTGCTCGTCTTCGGCTGCTTCGGAATCCTGAAGAACATCATCTCGCTGTACGAACGCTACAAGAATCACAGGGAGAACGAGAGCGAGAACAACGCCAAGCAGAACCCGCTGGAGGTCATGATCAACTGCTTCCTGCTCGCCTGGTTCATCGCCGGAAACTACTGGATCTACTCGGTGCACAGGGCCGTGAACATGGTCGATCCTTCCAGCGAACGGTTCTGTGACCCCACGGCGTACCTCTTCGCCTTCTGGGTCACCACCACGGCGTACATATTTGTGGGCCTGCTGATCATCTGTGTGTGCTGTACAGCGTTTTGTACTTCTGTTACAACGTAGAGTTTTACAATGTACAGGTCATAGACCACCCTTCCTCCCATGCCCCCCCCCCCTTGATATTTGATTCTACAACTAGAATTGTATGTTGTGAACATTTACAAGTTTGTGATAGCAGCAAACCTGTATTGTAAATTTGTACGTTACTCTCTAATCACAAGATTGTGTCTTACTGTGTGTTGCATTTCTGTTACAACAACTAGAGAGTTTTCTGATGTACAGGTCATAAACACCCCACCCCCTTCCTTGGCAATATCTCTAATGGTTAGTTTTTTTGATGTACAAGTCATAAAAGTCATTCTACATGTAACCGGTATTGTAGGGGAAAAACCAATTTTGTTTGTGAAATATTTACAGGTTTTGTCTTAGCAAACCCTATATTGTAATTTACTGTCACAGCGAAAGACTGTGTGTTGTACAGTGTTCTGTACATGTGTTACAACAGTTTTCTGATGTACAGGTCATTGGCCCCCCTCCCTCATTCTACAAATGTTGTAGGGCGAACTAACTCTACATTTCGAATGTTTACATGTCTATTGTAATTACTGTCATAGTAAAAGGCTGTGTGTTTGTACAGTGTCTTGCAGTTCTGTTACAACAACTAGAGAATTTTCTCATGTACAGACACCCCTTTTCTTGCCCCCTCCCATTCTGTGAGCATTGTAGAGGAAATAGCATTACGCTGTACTGTCATATTGTAAGACGTGTGTTGCACAGCATTTTGCACTAATAAGTATTTTGATGCAAGTGTAATACCAATACCAAGGACAATGTCACTCTCGTATAGAGTCTGAACAAAGATTTATTTATAATTTGCACATACCGGGCAGTATATGCATTTCAATCAATTCAATGTAAAGTATGTAAGGATTTGTGGCCATGTTGGAGAGTGGGTTCTTTTTATTGTTTTTTGGTCAGCACGCATTGACAACATTTGCCAGATGAATGGCATAGCGCCACATCAAATAATAGCCCATTGTACAACAAATCAAAAGGGTCTTTTACCCATGGGAAATGTAAAAGAGTTGCTGTTTAATTTTGCTGCTAATGCACTTGCTATAGTCAAAGATGTAAAATATCATATATATATGAGATGATAAGATATACAATCCATGTTTTCCAGAGAATTTTTTTTCATTTGTTGCTTCATATGTTTGTTTAATATGCACACATATGTATATGTATCCAGACATACAAATTCATAATTATTGCAAAATATCTGAAATCAAGATGTCAGAACATGTTTTCTATTGTAGCTTCTCCCACCAATGTTATCTGAAGATGTGAAAAAAGTAGAGCAAGACATTTTTTTTTCTTAGCACAAGTTAAAATCAATGTATGAGTGGAAAATTAAAGTTTTTTAAAATTCATTTAGGGATGTTATGTCATAAGAGTAACAAAATTATGGACTAGTGACAAGCGGATGCTTAGGCCACACCAATTTAATTTGTTGGTTCTCTGATTTTTTCAGAAAAATACAAAGCGACAGGGCGAAAAAAATGATAGCCCCAAATGCTACAATGGGAGCCAGGAAGTCAACATACCAGGCTGGGTTAAATTTAAACAATGAATTTGGAACTTTTAATCCAACCACCACATTGATACATGGGAAAACTGTAGCAAGTAGGAAGAAAAGGACTTTTTTCCATTATACGGGCCATAATATCAACATGTTGTAGATAATTCAGAACCTGAATTTTTATTTTTATCTTTTTTATTGAAGAGGCAAATCCAAGAACCAACAAATTAAATTAGTGTGGCCTTAGCATTGGACTTCAGCTCTATTTTCAAGGTTCATGTGTATGACAAATCAATGAATACAATTTGTTTGTATATTGAATACAGTTTGTGTGTATATTGTGAAGTTGCCTTAAAAATCAAATAATCACAATTTGTTGGTGAAGTTTTAAGATATTTGACTATATTGATACAAATGAAATGATGTGTATTTATATACTGTTGTTGTACTTTGATGTTTCTAAGTGTTTGCGAAGCATCAGTGTAATTACTAGCAATAACAAATTACTAGTCAAGAGTCTAGTTAGCAAATAACTTAATCTTTGACTTGATTTTTGGTCAGAAGTCTATGGTTTGAATCCTTGCAATGCATTGTACAATTTGTAGTAAATAGCGCCTTAGAGCCTATAATTGTTAAGTCTTGTTTTCTGTGGAATATGTTCTTTTTCCATGAGAAATACATTGCTGATAGCATGTGATTAATATTGACTTCTCAATGTCTTAAAGAATTCAGTCTACTTTTATGTACAATGTGAATGACTGTCAAAGAAATGCTTAGTGGCACAAAAGATGTATCTGAATTGTACATAATGCAGAGTGATTGAATATAAATGTTTTCTTCAGATTTGAATTTCTTTTCTCTCTGCATCATTTATTTTGTGTTAGCTTAATGTATGAAGAATACTGTAGATGTTTTAAATTGTACATACAGATAGGATTTACATGTACGAAGTACCAAGGTGACATGGTTGTGGTATGTGCCACACAAAGCCCCATTTCACTTTGGAGGAGGCTGAAATTAGACATGCATAACAATACATATCTTTATATACGTGTATTGTTATGTGTAATTTCAGCCTCTTCCAAGTCTATAGTTAACATATTCATTTCCAAACTCTTAACAGTTTATATTTTGACAGCTGCTATTGTGAGTGACTGCTCTAAATGCAACTGCACTCAATTTGCATAAAGCCAAAGTTGTTGGTTCCTACACAGTAGGTTCTTGCTCAACTTCATATAGCAAGTTCTGTTTTTCATCCTCATGCTCAGATGTTTGTGTGTCCTCTCCCACACTCGAGCTCCTGCTGACTGTATGTTGCACTGACTCTTCTTCGGACTTGAGACCCTTAACAGTTGTTGTCTCTGAGGATGTATGGCTGCTGTCACTGTTGTAAGATGCTGGCGACATTGGTACTGTGAGCTCCTCATCTTCTAAAGTCTCGTCTGTTTGGTGGTGGAAGGTTATGTCGTCTGTTGGGTGGAAACCCGTTTCTTGAAGTTCAACACATGGGACTGGGCCAGCTTCGATACTTTCCATTCTTTCAACTTGGGCACCGGGACCAAGACGATTCCGTATCACTGCAAAAAATATATATGATTACCACAATGAAAAAAAATGCACGTATTGTTTTTGGTGTGTGTGTGCGTGTACGTATGTGTGTGTGTGTGTACACATGGGAGTGCAAAAAAATCCACTCCAGTTGAAAAAGGAATGTCGATGAGTTTTTGCTCAGAATGTTATGATAGTGTATATATATCTTGAACTTATTAACATTATGAACATTGATTTTTGGCCATCCATGAAACGGTGGCCTTACAAAATTGTCCTGCGTATATTAGATGAGCATGCTATATATATGAGACAGAACTCTGCAAAGAAAATACATTAATGGCAACAGTCTGTGTTACATATATATATACACTTATACATATATATGTGCATACATTTATATCAATGATTCTACAGTTAGAGATAAACAAGCCATAAACTGAAAGGATGTAAAACTCACTCGAATCGCCATTGTCACCCAGGCGAGCGGAAACCATTCTCCGATCCTCGTTGGTCACTGTTACGGTGCTGCCTACGCTGGTTGCAAAGTCGACCCAAACATTCTTCTCTCCAGTAATCATGGCGTTCTTGGCTCCGGCATTGCGGGTTTCTGACGACAGCGCCTGCTGTTTCGCAAGGTGTGATCACTTCCGCATTTTACGTAAGCGATCCCATGCGTCTTTGCGCAAAAACTCACCTGTCTATGAAACGGGCACGGCTTGATTTTCGACGGTCGTCGGTCAGAAATACATGTAACGCTTAGATGGTCGCTTTTTATGATCGCCAAATACTTTTACTATACCTGCATAGCAAGTGAGGCTAACAGTAGCCCCTCACAGTCGCCAGACGGTACAAATGAATGTCGTTTTAGACGCACGGGATGGGACTAGGTAAGGTAAGGTAAGGTATCTACATGTATCTATTTTAGCATTATAGAAAGTGAAAGCATTATAGAAAGTGAAAGCATTATAGAAAGTGAAAGATGTAATACTAGTATATAGAAACATCAAAGGCATCAAATACAAGAACAGTATATATAAATCCACATTTCGTTTGTATCAATATACAGTAGTCAAATATCTTAAAACTTCACCAACAAATTGTGATTTTTTGTTTTTTAAGGCAACTTAACAATATACACACATTGTATTCATTGATTTGTCATAATAAACACGAACCTGAAAATAGAGCTGAAGTGAAAGGCTAAGCACATCCGCTAGTCCATAATTTTGTTACTCTTATGACATGACACAACATCCCTAAATGAACATAAAAAACTGTAATTTTCCACCCATACATTGATTTTAACTTGTGCTAAGAAAAAAGAAAAAACGTCTTGTATGTATGTATGTATCTATATATCTATCTATATCTATATATACATATGTGATGCAGCGATAGGCGATGAGTGAAAGTTCTTGAAATTTTAGGTTCTTTCAGACATGTGTAGAATATGGGTGATAGCATGACTGGGAGGCAGGTACATGGCGTCCAACACCCCGGACAATCCTTGCTGCTGTACTGTGACTTCGTCCAGCGGGGGTTCTTTGTATCCCCTTCTTTGGAAACGCCTTGTCAATTTCAGGGCTTTTTCCTTGTACTTGTGTTCCCCTGAGGAAATGTGACGCATGCGAAGTATCCCTGGATGGGATGGGTTCCAAAGTAGGTGATTGTCGATTTAATTTATGTCCAAGTCCGTTGTTATCTCCCCTACCAATGAAAGGGTGAGTATAAAGTTGACGCTTTCGTGTCCCTGGAGAGAAATACATACATCAGCAATACGATCAAGTCACAATAAAAGGATAATGATTCTGTTCACTAGGAATACATGCAATATGTTATGAATATTCTGTTTCTAGTTTGAAATTCCTCATAAAGTACTTGTGACCTGCACAAAGAACTGTAACGGTAACGCTCACAGCGCCTGTTAACTAAGTCTAAAAACTCTGAACTACTTTCTTGTCACATCCTTCAACCTTGCCTAGTTATATTTCAGTCCATACCATGGTATGGATGAAATATATTGTGTTCCCTCATGTTTCTCCTCCTTCTCCTTCTCCTTCTCCTTCTCCTTCTCCTGCCAAACAGTCAAAGGGATTCAACTCAGCCATCATTCAGCCAAATGACCTGAAATTTGGCATGGAGGTAGAGTGGGCAAATACCCCCAGACGTTTTTTTTCTTCATTTTTTTGAAACATGCCTTTGAAAAATTTTTATGAAGGTTTTTTGGGGCATTTTTCGACAAAAATGGATTTTTGGATCCTGAGCCCTGGTATTACAACCAAATGATCTGAAATTCGGTATAAGGGTACCTTGAACGTGTGTCTACAGAATAGTAGTCACATATTTGGCATACACCACTTCCAAATGACTCATTTAGGGGACTTTAATGGCTATTTTCAGCAAAAAAGGGCCAAAAGTGCTGTACCTGTTCCATGTTCTATCTAAAGAATGGCCGGTTCCATCCATGGAACACGTGTTCCATTGCGGGTTACCTGAAGTCACATTGCACCTAAGTGGTGCGTAATGACCCACACATTCAATTTTATGTGCCTAAGACCTTCGAAATGTATCAAATCTCATCATTGTTAGTTTTTGCATACCTGTAATAAGATTAGTAAAGCTTTCGAGATTCAAAGTACTTGTTGTTGCATCTTTGTTCTCATATAGCTACTATTTAATTCATTTATTTGAGAACCTTTGCCAGTTTTGCACTGGGGTAAGTTTGGAATAGTCCACTTTTGCGTGGGAGGGAGATGGACTGAAATATGCTGTATTTGCTCCCAAGCAAATGTCGGCCTTTCTAGTTCTCTGTTTGGCTCTGCTCTAGATCTGCTTACTTGCATGATAATAAGCCACCAGATTGAAGTAAAAACAAACAATAAGTACATGGTGTAGAAGATGTACCATTATGGTCTTACGAGACCGATCTCGCGAGGAAATGCCTACCTAAAGATGGAAGTTGAGCATCATCATGATCAGCGTCACGTCTGTTGCTGGATCCTGTCGAAGGACCTGCCCCACGATCATCACTGGTCTCAAAGGGTAGCCTTTCTATTGAAAATGAGGTTCAGCGTTCACAATGATGTTATAAATGACGTTTGAGCATACACACGTGCGCTTACTGCCTTTAACAAGTTTAGCAAGAAGTTAATGTTCATCCAGTTTTAGTAATATGTTGGTAGTCAAGCTAAGGAAAGAGAGGACTCACCTAAGAGCTCAGTCAAAACTTCCTTGGCCTCTTCAACACCGCCTAGGATCATTTCATGGAGTAGGGCAGCCAAATGGCGTTCTTCTATACGCAATCCAGTGCTGATGATTTTGATCGGACTTTCTACGAGATGTCTGTTTTCCCCACAGAGATTACCAATGACAGCAAATTCACTAGCGTTAAATGAAGATTTTATTTTTGCGCCTAATGTTGGTAGTGTTCCGGAATTTTTGTCCGGAGCAGCATTCTCGCGTGGTGTGCTAGTAGTGCTTGGTGTGCTAGAAGTGCTAGTGCTAGTAGTGCTTGGTGTGATAGTAGTGCTAGTAGTGCTTGGTGTGCTAGTAGTGCTTAGTGTGATAAGTGTTGCAGGTGGTACGTCTGGTGTTTCGTTCGTTTTACGAGTGATAACAAGAAGGTTACTGAGGATGTTCTTTAGAAAATTGTTCTTGTCTGATATTATATGTAAGAAGAAGAACACAATCAATAGCAAAGCAATGCAAAAAGAAATTGTAAGAGTAATCGACACAGGATACAAATGTTGCACTCCGGTGATCTTACAAACAAACTGTAGAGTATCTTCGGCTCTCGAATCATTGTTTGATTTGTTTGATCTGATTTTAGCAGGGCAGAGAAAGTCGTTTTGTGATACAACGTTAGCATTAAACGAACATAGATACATTAGGCAAGGAACCGCGAAGAGGACTAATATGAAAAATTTTCCTACCTGTCGCTTCCATAACCTTTTAGACTTAGTTCGACGCTGTACGAAAGAGATAAGCACCGAAAAGGACTCTTGTACTTGACGCATAACGGTTTCCTTATTTTCCTTCCCTTTCTTTTTATCGTCAGGGAGGTGAGATAACTTTATTTCTTGACGACTGGTGACGGCTTCCTTCTGTTTTCTTTGATCTTCAGGAAGGTCAAATTCATCTTGCAAGGTGGCTAGGTCACAAAGCTGTCCAAATATGTCGTTGATTTGTTTTGCTATGAAATTCATCTGCGAAGCAATCTCTGTGCCGAACATTATCTTCCACAACAAATGTGGTACGTACATGGCTAATGAAAAGGATAAGACAGCATTGGGAAACATTAACAAAGCTCTCTGGTTCCAATCAAGGTTTTCCTTGCAGAAGGCATTTACGTAATTTGCTTGAGGAATGGTGAAGTTTGATGGAGGATAGCATATGACGCCCTGCTGTTCACCTGTGAAAATGGACGCTGTATTAATTTCTAACTAGCAGTAGTTGTCTCGACAAGAGTAGTCTGTACACATACTTTGAGATGTAGAAATATACAAATCCCCCCCTTCATTTCTTTGGACTATCATATAAGTTAAAAGAACATGAAAAAACATTTCAAATCATGCTACGCACATATTTCATAATTACGAAACATTTCCCCTATTTTTCCCCACAAACTTAACATTTACGACAATTTATTTTATCATATTTTGTAAAACAAAAGGCATAGGAAATAATATGCTTTCAGTAGAGATACATTGTGTTTTGTAATTGTTAGCAACATTGTAATCCTACCAATGAAATCACCCAGAAACAGTGTGCCAGACACCAACAGTGGCAGCCAGACGGTCAGCGCCTTAATAAGTCTGTCCACCCACGTGTCCAAGGTAACCTGACCGTGGCGACCTTCTCCGCTGACGTCAGGTATCAGTCCCGCCAATATGGCAGCCATTCTATGGAACCCTTTTGTCACTTATGTAGTTAACCTGCAAGGATAAATATAGAAATGCTTTCACCGTTAATTCAGAAACCTTTTATTCTATTAAATAAAAGCCAATGCTGATGAAAAAGGACCTGGCGCTAGTGAATTAAACCCTTGCGCCACCTGTCTATAAACATACCGGAAAAGGGCCAAGATCGATTACGACGACATATTTCACACATGACTTATTTCGTTACTAACTATAATCTGTGCTGCCTGGGTCCTTCTAGGTCTCACTACACGAAAAGTCCAATTTACCAATGGTAGTAAATGTTCCTAATGTTGTACAGTGTCTATGCCTGTCGTCTGCTTGGATAGTACGTACGATACTAATAGTTGGTGAAATGACTATCGGAGCACCGAACACCTGCGTTACTAACTTCAACTACAATTTCATTTATTAAGTTAGTACCCATACCTAGTAGCAGAGGCAGGCGGCAATTGAAAGCATGTTAGAGAAGCTTATACTTTACAAACCTCTGCAGCCGCCTGGGGTGTCCGTCCAACAACAGAAGGATACCTGATGGTATCAGAAACGAAAGCGATTCCTCAGTTTGTGTTAGCTGTACTGTTACTAGTGTTAGCGTCCCCTGCCCAGGGGGTAATCAATCCCATAGGTCTTAGCGCGTGAAAGCCACCTGTGTTTGAAGATGGCCTAAACCTTGCACAGAGCTCTATTACATGCTCCCATTCACCGATCACAACGTGTACTCCGTACCAAGCCTTGTCGTATGGTGTTTCTTTGGGTGTCCTCACTTTCAACGGACAGAATAAGTTCTCCCCTGATGCATGCATTTTCCGTTTAAAACCAAATCTAACTTTGCTTCTTTCTTAATAGACCGTTGTCGCACAGATCAAGTTATTAATAAGTAACTACGATAACAAACAAAACGCTACCACCCTGAGTCAACTATGAACACCACTGTGCTCGACAGAGCGTAGCCTGTGTGTTTTAATTACACAAGCTCACGGCTTTAGCCTGGAATCCATCCGTGAACGCTTTATCTCCTTGGTTATATATGTAACCCATCTATCCTACAGGACACTAGTAACTACTCCGGTCTCACCTCCAAACTTGGGCAATACTGAGTCAAGCTTCGCGGAAGGCGTCGAGTCGTCGACAGGCGGTTATATACTGGTTGTGTACATAAGAACTTTGTTAATAACAAACTGCAATAGTCCAAACCTCCGCTGGGTCGCGTTGTGGGGAGAAAAATGCGGTCCAAAATGTGTAATGGTGGAGAGCCATGTTTGAACAAGTTCGACTTTTACACTCTATCAGAAGGAGTGTTTACATTCTAGTAGTTAGTCAATTCAGTTTACAAGGCAAGGGTACCGGTGGTAATTATATTTCTGATTTGCTTATATAACGGCACACATATATATTATATATAATCAATTCATTAAAAGGGGAAAGTGAATTCACACAGTCTTGACAAGACTATACTGTGGTTGTGACTTCATGTCCCGATGCAAAGTTCGACAAGAAAGTTACAGTTGCATTGACTTAAAAGTGCAAGCGGCAAATGGATCACTAACAAAACAAACATCAAGATTGTATAAACGTATATACCAGTACCGTCCCCTTTTGGTTTCGCAAGGTGTGCTCACTTCTGCCTGTCATGACGTAAACATTCCCATAATTCTTTGCGCGAATGTCTTTGACATTGGCTTGTTTTCGGTGTCACTCAGAAATACACAGAAACAGCCCCCTTCGCTGATTACCAGATACTTTTAGTACCTGCATATATCAAGTTAGGCTAACAACAGTAAACCCTCGCAGTAACCAGGTGGTACAAATAGACATTTCTTACCCATTACCCATTGGCATTGGCGTCCATGACGGCCTCTTGCGGTTCTTGTCTCAACTGCAACAAACGGAGCTCGCAACAGCTGCGCATTCAGCCCTTCACCACAGACTGTGTTCGAAAGTTTCTGATCTGATATTTCATGTGTTACTCGCCCCGTCGGATACTAAGCGTAGGGGTGGGGTGGGGTGCGGTGGAGTAGAGCGAATAAGCTCTTAATTTATTTAATTCAATATATATATAAATTTCTAAACGTTGTTATATAGTACTTTAGTTAATTGAAAAGTAAAAGGGATAAATTGCCAAAGAAAACTAAATGTAAGGATCCAACTTAGTGTGGGTGTTTTGTGCATGTTTTGCAACATTTGTTCCACTTTTTGACGATTCGCATCTATTTAAGAATAGCGCTGAGCTTGAGTGGGGTCCTTACATCTGCTTGAAGGTCACCTGTTAACTATATTTGCCCGTAAGGACACACGAGCAGCTTAGGTGTGCCCTATCGGCCTGTTTGCGTTCCCCTTGACAGGAAAACAATACGGAACTCCTCGAGCCCGGTTCACGGGGCATATTTGGAGAGTGATTCACAGACTTTCTTTACCGTCCCGTCTGTGCAACCTATCCTTGTAGACTCTCCTATACTTCGCACACTTGTGGACATCGTCATTGCTTGAACGCCGGCTCTTATGCAAACGACGACCAGTGACAGGTAAAAACCACGCCTTGTCAGCAATCAAAGGGATCCAACTTCATAGCCTTCTCCGCTTTCTGCCAAGCGTACTCCAAAAGGCCTCTCCACAAATACCTGGCCTAATTCGACGCGGGTCATCAAGACACTTCCTACGACAATATGGCGACGATTAGCGACGTAGAATCCGGCAAAGGCGGGCTGCCTCTTTCCGACCTTACACTAGTGAGGAGTGAAACAGACGTCCGGCCGAAATTCGGAGGAGCGACCGAATACCTGGCCGACGCGCCTCCCTCGTACGCCTCCATTTTTGAACAGATCAGGAAGGCTAGAGAAGAATCGGAAGGGAATGTGGAGTTCGGGAAGAACGCGTCCACGGCGGTGGCAGGCAGTAAGGGGTGTACATTTTGCACGGCTGTGCTGATGGTGGTACCGGCCGCCATGGTCGCCATGGGAGCTTTAAGCCTGTATCTACAAGACTGCCCCATCGAGCGCATGATTCCCATCTACCTGCTCGTCTTCGGCTGTTTCGCACTGCTGAAGAGTCTCATCTCTCTGTTTGTGAGGTGTCGGAACCACTGGGACAACGAGAGCGAGAAGAACGCCAGGACGAACCCCGTGGAGGGGCTGATCTCCTGGTTCCTCTTCGCCTGGTTCATCGCGGGAAACTACTGGATCTACTCCGTCTACACCACCGTGAACATGACCGACCCGGCGGACGCTAACTACTGCCAGCCCATCCTGTACCAGTTTGCCTTCTGGGTGACCACGGCCATGTACATTGTAGTCGGACTTTGCGTTCTGACAGTCTTCTGTTGCTGTTGTACAGTCTGCTGTATGGTATCTAAGGGTTCAGACAAGAAAGGAACAGTGTCTTAAGTGTTCTTTTGAGGAAATCTTTTGAGAATGTTCTGTAATTCTTAAGTGAGATGTGGCGTTGAAGAATCCTTCCGCTATAACCACCACGCCCTTCCCACAGGCCACTTATCGCAACCTCCAAGCAGATACGAGGAGAAAACGATTTGACCTGTCCACATCTGCCGGAATGGTAAACATGAAATGTGTTTGTCCATGTGTTAGAAAGAGAAAGCAAAGTAAAGACAAAAATGTGGGTGAAAGGACAAATACCATGCCGTAATGTTACAAGAGAGTGACCTGCAAATATAGTCTGTTACCCTTATTATATAGACGGAACGTAAGGCTCAAATGTTTTTCTACAGTTGTTCTGCTCTGATTGAAAAGGGATGGGGGATTGTCTAAAAGTAGTGCACGCTTTTAGTGGTGATGTGTTTGCTTTACTTCTAGAGTGGAACGCACCCACCTAGGGCTGATTATGTCAAGTCCCGCTTACCACCTGCATGGTGTGCTGTTGTAGTGGTGGGGAGAGGGGTACCACAGAAGAGACTAAATCATTCGTACAGTTACGGAAATATTGGTACGCAGAATCTTTCGGACTGTAGCAATTTAATCATGTGGTCAGGGCGCAGCCATTATGAATATGGCTTTGATTGTGGCAATTGTTTCCTTTCTTGTCAATAGTCGCCAACTAGGATTGTAGACATGACGCTTGTAGTTATTGCATTTTGTAAATATGTGCTACGTTTTAATCGGTATTTCATAACGATATCGATTGCGTTATTTTCCATTAATGAGAACCACAAAGAGATCACTTCATCTTTGAAAACATCCATATAAAACGTACGCTTCTTTAGGGAGGTTTAGAGTTTTAACTTTGTATTATTACTTAATCATGATTTCAATTGTATTCAAGTCTTTTGGCTTTCATCTGTTATGTATACATGTATGTGAGATTGAGTCGTATAACCGTACATATATCGTAAATATTTTGTTTAGCTTAGGTATTTTACTATTTTTTTTGCATTGCTATTTGCTTCATGTCACCCATACGTCTAGTTTAAGACAAAAAATCATTATGTAACTGTATTGTGACTATAAACGTTTATGTGAGACAACAAAACACGTGAAGAAATGTGCACCTATGTCGTCTGTTGATATTTTCTTCGAAATGTTGAGTGGTTTAGAAGTACATGTATCAGGTGTTTTCGTAAATTTTGAATTTCCCAACTCAACTAAATATAAAAAGTCAATGAAATGTTGAAATAGTTTGCAACAGAGGGTTAACAAAGTCCTTTGTATGTACGTACACAATCAATGATTTTGACCTGTCGACGCTTCCTCAGGGCAGTAGTGACTTGCACTAATTGGCACAGCAGCTAGGTGACGCTGCAGTTGGAAAGAACGCGACTCGCCTTATAACCACCTGTTACGTTTCAAGGCGAGTAGATTGTGAAAAAAATTAGTTGGGTGCAAGGACATTTTTACCTGTAACTATTGATTCACCAACGTGATGATACTATTTACGGAGTTTCTGCTGCCATTTCACATCAAAGTGATTTTTCTACTCAAATGGAACAAAACAATAGAACAAAAAATCTGAATTGAAAAACACACAGACTATCGTTTTCCATATTTTTCTTCTAAAGCTTATCTTTTTTACTTGCAACTGCGCCTCATAAATTAAGAAAAATCATCGAAACTTGATAGGCATACATGCTGAAATAATAACAATAATGGTATAGAATAATCCATTCATCTGCTTGAATATCAATATGAAGCAAACAATGTTCTTCACTGTCCAATGATCTGCCACCGAACCGTCTTATCAATGGCGAGGCTTTATTTAAATTAGGGAGAAGGTGAGACAACTTCTGGCCACGCCCTTTTGTGAAGGCCCTCTTAATCCCCGACCACTTCACTCTACTCTTTATACGCCAGGCGTGTACGCACTACTCATTCAGGGGCCCAACGCGACCAGGTCAGCGGCACTGTTCAGCGCAATATGGCGACCGAGAAAGACGTCGAGTCCGGCGAAGGCGATGTGCCCCTTTCCAACCTCTCACCCCCGACAGAAGAACCGCCAAAATACATGCCAACTGAAAACGCCGGCGCCGACGCCCCTCCTTCCTACGCCTCGATTTTGGAACAAATCAAGGCTGCCAGGGAAGAGTCCGACGGAAATATGGACTTTGGGAAGAAAGCGTCCACGGCGGTGGCGGGCAGCAAGGGATGCACGGTGTGCGGGGCGCTGCTGCTGGTGGTACCGGTCGCCATGATCGCAGTCGGGGCGCTGAGCGTGCACAAACAGGACTGCCCCATCCAGCGCATGATTCCCATCTACCTGCTCGTCTTCGGCTGCTTCTACCTGCTGAAGGGGCTCATCTCCCTGGCCGAGCGGTGCCGCAACCACCGCGACAACGAGAGCGAGAAGAACGCCAAGCCCAACCCGGTGGAGGGAGTCATCACCTGCTTCCTCTTCGCCTGGTTCATCGCGGGGAACTACTGGATCTACTCCGTCTACACCATCGTGAACCTGACCGACCCGTCCGACGCCCTGTACTGTCAGCCCTCCTTGTACCGGTTCGCCTTCTGGGTGACCACAGTCGTGTACATACTCGCCGGTCTCTGTGTCCTGTTTTTCTGTTGCGGCTGTTTTGCGGTGTGCTGCTGCGCTAAGGGCAAGGGTTCCAAAGAAGAGTATACCGTGTCGTAGGTGTAATTGTGATTTGGCATTGTTGTTTTCTTAAAACCGTATCAGATGTTTCCCCTGTTGGTAAATCTGGGTAGTAGATTGTTTGGCCTTGGGCGCAGCGTCTTTTCTAAAGCCAAGGACTTAAAACAACATCAGCGCTTGAGCTGTGAAAGGACGATCTCGCTTTCCCATATTTTCTTAAGATACCTTCGTTATTCAAAGCACAAGAAACGCATTTTTTATCTGTTAGTGGGGTAAGAAGGCAAGGTTAAATTCAATGAGAAGGAAAGCCTTTGACAGAATTCGAAGTTAACTTGTTTTGGAATTTCATCTGTGCCATCACGTAAGATTGGGTACAGCACTAATTAAATTAGGCGCTCACAATGTGCCCCGCACACACGGTTCCGCTCCAGTTGTCCGCTATGGACAGTCAGGTTATCTGCAGAACTACATCCTTTTCTGTGGCTTCGGGTGTTGTCCAGGGACCGCGCCCTGAGAAAATATGCCATGCCGGCTTGCTACCTGCATTTACCTTAGTTGTTAGCGTGATGGCCCCACCCAGACCACGATACGCCATGACACAGGGCCATCTATACTGTATGTGGGGTGGGGAAGACGTCACAAGAAAATTGACATTACGGTTTTAATACAAAATATGCAATGAGCTATTGTCATCTTCATGGAATAACTTGGTGACCTCAATATTTTGTATATTAATTATTGTGGTATGTTATTTCAATGATTTGGTTCCTATGTATACTTCAATGAATTCTACAATGATTAAACATATGTGGTGTAATATTGTACAAATGTAGGACATGGAAGTGTTACTATTAAATCTTTAAGATGTTACTATGAGGCTGAATTGTCAGCTATGAATCTTTACGCATATTTCACCAGTTACAGTAGTAGAAGTATTGTCGATTGAAATAATGAATTGATACTCGTGTTTTATTAAGTTTAGTTTTTGTAATTTTTATATCAATTTTACATTTTACGTAGCACTTTATATATGTCTCTTATTAAGCAAATGTTGTGGGATATTCAGAAATATCTACTTGAAGATATTGATGGATTGCTATACTTCTGTATGATATACAGATACTAAATTTTACATGTATTTGCAAAATAAAAACACATATGAATCCAATCCTTTAGCTGAAGACTACTTGTCCATACTAGACTATATTGATTTTTCTTTAATTTCATTGAACAGACATTTATTACTATGCACATAAAAATGCAGATTTATATAAGTTTCCATCGTTGATCGACATCCATATGAAAATTGCATTATTCTGTATTATACTTATAACAACAATATGTCTATATCATAGTTGCTTTCTTCAATACGTAACACTACTTCTTTATTCTTTATTACAGTAACAAGTTAACAACAATGAAAAAAGATATTTAAAAAAACTCATATATACATTCTTAGCAAATGAATGTAGTAATGTATCTAATGAGGAGCATTTTTATAAATTTCTGTGTTAAGATACATAAAAATGGTAATTGGCTGTATAGCCATATTCGGACGAGAATCTGGTAACAGGATGTTAGCGAAACCAGAAACTAGTAGGGTAAATAAGAAGGCGTGGCTGATGTAAAAATAAAGTATGCTGTCACCCCCTCCGAGAACAGTCGGATCTTCCAGTTTCAATATATGCAATCCGTGTTCAAAACACCTGAGGCGTAAAAAAACACCAGACAACTTTTCCCTCCCCAACCACCAGCGCTACCGCAGACACTCTTCCATTCTGTCGGCGCCCAAGACACCTTTGCCCGCCACAAGACGACCATGTCGACGGAGAAGGACGTCGAGGCTCTCGCCTCCAGCTTTGAGGCGGAAGAACCGCCGTCCTACGGTACAGTCGACAGCCAGCAGGCCGGCGCCCCTCCCTCCTATTCCTCCCTGTACGGGGAGATTAAAAAGGCCAGTCAGGAGTCGGATGGAAACGTGGACTTCGCTAAGAAGGCGTCAGCCCTCATAGCAGGCAGCATCGGCTGTACTATATTCATGGGTTTCATGCTGGCGCTCCCAATCGCTTACATCGTGATCGGGGCGGTGTATCTACGCGACTGCACGATCCAGCGCATGATCCCGATCTACCTGGTGGTCATGGGGTCCTTCTCTGCCGCCAAGAACCTCATGTCGCTCGGGGAGCGGTTCAAGAACCACCGGGAGGACGAGAGCGAGAAGAACGCCAAGCCGAACCCCCTGGACGGGCTGTTCGGCTGTTTCATCCTGGCCTGGTTCATCGCGGGAAACGTCTGGATCTACTCCGTCTACACGACCGTGAACATGGCCGACCCGGCGGACGCCAACTACTGCCAGCCTACCCTGTACCTGTTCGCGTTCTGGGCCACCACGGCTACCTACATATGCCTCGGCCTCATGATGTGCTGCTGCTGCTGCGCTGCTGTAGTTTTTGGATCAGCCGCTGCCAGATCTGAAAACTCTTAGAATCCCAAGTATGCAACTTTACTTTGCGATTGTTTTTGAGTCACTTGAGAATTCTGTAATCTCTTTATTTATGTGTGTAGAGGGTTGTTGTAACGCCCATGTTGGGCCCCAACTACTAGTATTTAAGTACGTATAAGCCTGTGGGTGCTATACCCGTTTGACAAGTAGATTGTAGATTTTCTATATCGTACAACGTATCTGGTACTCAGGACGGGGAAGTACCTGTGGAACTGTCTTCCTTTATGCCAAACATGGCTGTGACATGCTGTCAAGCGATCTGAATACCAATTGATAGTAATGGTACGCCAAACTGAAATGGTCTTTACTGTATTGTGAACAAAACGTACTTCCAATATGTACCATTGGCTCCTCTGTGTATGAAAACACCATAGGACTGGTGATAATCTAATCAACTTGACACCAAACATTTCAACTTTTTGCAGTAGCGGTATTTATTACGCCGAAGTCCAGCATCTGAGCTGAGAGGAAATGTCTTCCTCAATATACGTCATAACAATTTCTCTTATAACTGGTTTGGAGATATTTGGCTTTAAAGTTACGTGTACTTAGATTTTTTGGATTTTCATATGTAAATCAGTTAGTCTTATGTCGGATTATAGCCTATTGAAAAACTTCAGGCAATTAAGTCAGTTGGAATTACTAGTCCGGGTCATGCGCTAAAGTATAAAGTCTGGGCGTGTTGAGTGAGATATTGAAAGTGCAAAAGCTAGCTTAGCCTAATTTTACGAAAAAGTAGGGTTTGCTACAATCATGGAATAGTATGATAGGTCCGTGTACGTGTACGTGTATTCTTACACTGTGGCAATACTACGCTGGATGCTAACCCATGCGGTGGTCCGGTATTTGATGCACGTCAGAAAACACGGACTTCAAAACAATATTTCCACCACAAATCATGCTTGTGTCTGGGGGTAAACAACAGTTGTGGGTCACTTCCATACCATAGTAGCCGGAGGTGCCGTAACCGGATTTGACTTCACGTCACGATGACAGATGAATAGTAGTAGTTGAGCTGACAGTGAAGGTTGATCGAGTTTCAAGCAAACACTTTAACGTCCGAAATAGTAACCTGGAATCCACGCTGTCGTCAGGGTTGGAATAGGCCAATTATTCGTCACCAGGTCTTGCATACCCCCAAGGAAAAAAATTATATGTAAATCAATAGAAAATTTGGTGTTAGGTTAAAGTGTCAAATTTTCCCTAAAGGTCATTTCGAAGTGCCAACGAACTTACAGTAGCACGTTGTGGGACTAGCTTGCTTAGCTTATCAGTATATATAGTGAGCCCAACACTGTATGGTAGATCAAATGTCCGCTCAGTAAATGTTTGGACAACCCAAAAGTGTCAAAAAGGTTTAAGAGGGACCAACCGGGGTCACATATAATGCATGAATGATAAGTGGTGTTATGTCATGTCATGTGCAGATATATTTACTTTGTCAACATGTATATTGGCAGCATATAACGCGGACGTATGGATTGATATTTTGTAATAGGTGAATACAATTGGGATTGTAGTTAAATTTTGTCAACAATACTCAATATTGTTACATAGTTTTGCTATTTATACGAGTGTGAATTAGGTGGAGTAGAGATGATGACAACATATTTAAAATCAAATAAAAGTTTATTGGTTGATGGGCAACGAGTGTTTCTGCTTTTCACTTTGGCAAATGGTTCTGAGAAGGTTTTTCTAAGCAAACATAGGAGTTTAAAAGTTACTAGAAAACGGTTAGTTCTTTGATTGTCTACCTGTATCTTGGAATCTAGCTTCCAGCACGTGGTCTAGGTTTATGGTGCGTGACCCTTGATAATGCCAATAGTAGCTAGTATTATGCAATCTACGAACGCACGCTTTTTCTATACATACGTACCAGTTTAGGTAGTCTACACTATTCCCAGATCATGATTTAAAATTACATGTATTTATTGTTTTTATGGTATACTTTATTCAAATTTTTCCAAATGGCATATTCCATATCCTAACATATATCCTACATGATCGAATCATAAGAAGATGTGATTTCTTATATCATGGGGAAGGGGGGATACTGGGGGGCTACCCCTGGCCTCAGTCTTACCTTCGCAATACAACATACTATAGCACAGGTACACAATAGACAGCTGTGAGGATAAGCCCCAGTTAAGAGCTACGGTTGATCGAATTACAGTCAAGCACTGTGATTGGGCGAGACAAAATGACGTCATACCGAGTGCTCCGGACGCCCAGGCGGTCGTTCAATGATGATGATGGTGAGCCCTCCGAACGACCGTTCTGCGCGACCAATCGGTCATTTGATGATGATGATGGTCTTTTGTGATTGGCCGACAGGTTGGTCAGGTTACCAGTATGCCCAATCGGTCATTTGATGATGATGATGTTACTGGGTCTCGACCTAAGGGATAACCTAGAGGTCATCTGGGTTTCATTCAGCAACAGTCTTTTATTCTTGTTAATAGTCTTGTGTTTCAGCCATTGTATTGAAGACGTCGAATTTTCTGGAAGACTCTGAAGACCGGAATGTGCGCTATACCTTTAGGTTATTCCCACGACCACTAGGTTATTGCAGGTACAAAATGTATAACAAGTTGATCTAATAATCGAGTAAAGTATGACATTACTGCTCAAAAACCGATAACTCACTTCTATCAAGAGTGACTTTGGTAATGTATGTAATGAACTGTAACATACGCGAAATATAACTGCGTGGGGTCTTATGAGTATACTTTGATTTAAAAAACAGGAAGGTGTAAGAATACAATATTGGCGAAACACGCGTTCTGAAGAAAGGTCAGCTGATACATGAGATCCTATACGTAAGTTGTGACCTCTGTGTTTTGATTGGTTGCTATTGACATAATCAAATCGACCTTAGCGCGGGGACAACAAAAGAGTCCTGCAGTGTATAAATAAGCCGGCGCGTGGCTACGGCCGGCACTCGCAAATCAGAACCCTTAGCAGACACGTCGCGAGGTACCGAAACCCACATCGCACGCACCATGTCATCCAGTCGGGACATTGAGCTGGGCTCACCGAAGTCCTCCAACCAGGTGTCCCCGGGCTCCCCGCCGGAGTACAACAACTCTCCCCCGCCGGACTACGGCTCGTGGTTCGAGGAGCTGAAGAAGACCAGGGAGGACACAGACGACAACGTGTCCTTCGGGAAGAGGTTCTGCTCCGTGATCGTGGGGAGCATCGGCTGCACGATCGGCCTGGGATTCATGATCGGGATCCCCGTCAGTCAGATCGTGATCGGATTCCTGTTTCTGAACCAGTGCACGATCCAGCGCATGATCCCCATCTTCCTGGTCGTCTGGGGAAGCTTCGGCGTCTTCAAGACCCTCATCTCCACCGGGGAGAGAGTTCGCAACCACCTCCGCAAGAACCAGGGAGAGGACGACAAGGAGAAGAACGCCAAGCCCAACCCGCTAGACGGGCTCGTCAGCATCTTCCTCTTCGCCTGGTTCATCGCGGGAAACTACTGGATCTTCTCCGTCTACACCACCGTGAACATGATCGACCCGACCAGCGCCCTGTACTGCCACTCCACCCTGTACCTGTTCGCCTTCTGGATGACCATAGCGATGTACATCCTGGTGGGAGCCGCCATCCTCATAGCCTGCTGCTGCTGTTTTGTCTGCTGCTGCTGCTGCGGGAAAAAGGACGGCGCTGACCTCGAGAAATAGACTTCAGAACGGACACTGTAGCAAGTATATCTTTCACTATACACACTGTGCACTGTTGTACGCGTAACCCGCAATTGTATACTGTTCATCGCCTCTTTTCTAACATTGGGAAGCTATGTTCCATGCATTATTCCCACTAAGTAGAAAAGTACTGCCCTAGGACGCGTTGCCTAGGCGACACCTTCCATAGTTTATTTTACTATCAATTATTCATCCAGAGAATCGGGTTAGCAAATAGTAGGGACATATTTGTATGCCTTAAAGGCCCAGTTGACCATTCCAAAGGTATAGTGATTAGTTTGACAGTTTATGTTATGTAACTCTCAGGTTAATGTTATACAGGTACATACAGAGTAGGTGTTGTTAAAGGTATTACGGGTGGATCTAAAGCCTTCCGCTGAAATTGATACATCTGTGCAGTTCATAAAATAAGTTTTTAACCACGATTATGAAACGTTACATGACCAGTGAAAAGTATTGTAAGAAAAGCGCGTGTGACATTGATACTTCGAAAGAACAAGACTGTTATCCTCAAGTATGATAGCGGTACACAACTGGTACATTTTTGTTTGGTAACCACTAACCCAAATCTATGAAATTCACAATTCCTGTATTATGAATTCATTCACACTTCTATTTTGCATTAAGGATTTTTATCAATCCCCCCCCCCCAAAAAAAATTCATATTGACTTTGTTTTCAAAATGAACGCTGCTATGACGAGTCAGCCAATCAGAGTCTGTGTTTCATTAGCACTGTAAAATTAAAGATAAACTTTATTTTTAACGACATGCCCTTCATATAATGAAGGTAGACTTTAATGAAGGAAACCACACCTAAAATTGAATGTGAACATTTAATGTTAAATGTATGACCAAATAATATGTATTTCTATGCAAGGCGACACCATGTCAAACATGTCTAATGCTGAACTTAAACATGTAAGATGTGTCATGTAATACATCATTTGCCAACATAGTTTTAGTTTATTTTTATTTGGGAATTGTCCATTGGTATAACTGTACTAAAGTTTGAATGATATGTTTTACGTTTCCAGTTTTCATTGCTGCTTTTATCTAGGACAATATGTGTGAATACCAGCAAAATAGAATTGTGTAAAGTAAAGCTTATTTATTGTACATTTTAAAACTGTGCGTGTTTTAAACAGTGATTGTACATGTACATAAGCCTGTAACATTGCCGATGAGGATTATAAAATATCTATAGATAAATTGATACGTATGTTTTATCATATATACTTTTCCTATTCTATGTGCCTTCTGCAAAATACGATTTATGCAAACTAGTCTCTTGTTGCTGTATGCAGTGCAGTGTTTGTCTGGGTGTGGCTATCTCCTTATGATTACACCTGTAAAATATAAGTATGCTATGTCACTTGACAGGTATATCCACTATTCATCGTTGACTTAGCAGACATGATAATTTGATGTGTGATACTAACTTGTCAGAACCAATAGTTTTCTTATGCTAGAAATACAGAGAAATGGCTGTCTTTCAGAGAAGTGCCAAATAAACAATGCTTTCTTGCCTCTGTATATCTAGATTTGCGCGTGTTTCTATATGTGTTACCATAGGTACTTGTACGGCGGGACGGTGCAATATTGAGTAGTCAACTCTTGTAATAATAATACGTGTGAACAGAAAACTCCTTACGTAACAGGAGAACTATGATTACATTTTGTCTTCGGCTCCTTTCCTTATTAACACATGCCTTATGTTGATGAGACTTACGTTTCTGACACAACGAATCACAGCCATATTAAATAAACCACAACCACATTCTATGTATGGTGGTATGTGCTATGATCAGTGTTTAGCCAACGTTAAAATGTGAAACTCTTTCTCACACTTGTATGCATCGTATCTGTGATATAAAGATATAAATATAAAATATAAAGTCACTCACTCACTCACTCACTCACTCATTCGCTCGCCCACTCGCTCACTCACTCACTCACTCACTCACTCACTCACTCAATGTCTACTGCGCTATATGTGTTGCAACACACCACGATACTACTAGTATCGTGGTGTGTGAAAAGTTCACCTAAACTTTTCTTCGGACCCTTTACCGTGGAACTGGAAAATGCAAAATTTTGACAAAACAGATACACAAACCCATCTAAAGCAATCATTCCGTATCCGGTATTCCGTAAAAATGTCAGTCAAAAAGACCACAGACGGACGGTCGGCTCTATAGTCTGTTTAACTGTTTTACTGTATTTTCCCGCCAGGAGGCGCCTGTGTCAGGCCAGGGTTATGTAATCACGCCACCGTGTCCACTGCTGGCAACAAAACAGCTAGCTAGGGAACACAGGTACAGGGCCTTGAACCTCAATTACCTTGGGGAGGCAAAAATTAAACACTACGTTTTTTTTTTGCCAAGGCGGGCCCTTTGTTTGAAGGTCAACCTATTCCTCAACAACAACGAAGACGACAACAGGTGGCGAACTGTTTACTTCATAGGGGTCTTCAGGGTGAGTCTGTTCGTGACAAGCAGGAAGCACACGGTCGTATTTCGTCTGCCTGCAAACCGCTTTGATATTTTCTTGGTCCATTCCTTGCTGAAGTCTTCAAGACGTAAGTAGTCTCCTTATTATCTAGTGTTCACCGTCTTCCTTTGTCATTAGTTAGATATTATGATTTACGGTGCCTGTGTACCAAAAAAGTTATATAGTACTGGCATTTGTTTGTAGGTAAAATGCCTTCCCCCTTAATCTGGCCCCTAATTCAATATTTATTTTCCTGAAGTGAAGCGTGATGTTATGTTGTGTGTAGACTAAATATGGTGACTGGGGTTCGACCGGTGCCACCTGTCGTACTATAGTTGTCTTACACCAAAATAGGCAGTCTGCCATACTCTCCAAGCAGAGGTTTGGGCTCATTTTTGGCGTGTTTTTAGGCTTTTTTATCGGGCTTTCCTTTTTGTACTGGTACCTTTTTGTGCTGCTTGACCTGGTGACCATACTACGGGTCGCTGGGCGGCAATAATTGGAACGGCCTGCTTCTACGATCGGCCGCGGGTGACGAACAAACTCTGGCCGGCCGGAACAAACCTCAGCCGACCCGTTGAGTATGGTGAGGCAAGAATACATGTACTAGAGCATAAAGAAACTAGATGACCCACTTTAATAGCATTAATTTCTACTTAACAGGTTTCTTCTTTATTTTACATTTCTGCCTGGGACTAATCCCTGAAGTCATGTCTACATGTCTGGATATTCCCAACAGGACAATGTGGTTGTTGACGGTATTTCTGGGTTTGCTGACCGTGATTTTGGCTACATGGTTGCCGGGGTACATCAGACGATGGCGGATGCCTCCCGGACCATTTCCCTGGCCGATCATCGGAAACATCGCCAGTGAGTACTCGGAAGGCTACTGAGAACATAATTTGCATGTCAGGCAGAGAGCTAACAGGGGGGCTAAAATATGTTAGACCAAGTGCTACCTAAGGTAGCACTTGGTCTAACATATTTTAGCCCCGTCCTACCATGATGAAAAAGATTGAAATGTCTTCTTTACAATATCTGCATTTCAATTTAAACTACTAGAACTACAGCTTGCAGTTCAAAGAAGGCCGCTAGAGTCCAATAAATTTAGTAATGTCTTCCTGAGACCAAAGGCTACATGTAAGACTGCACGCTAAGCGAGAATCGCATAAACCTCTTTGAATACCTATTTCCAGTACTTGGTGGTAAAACGTATCTAACCTTCATCGACCTCGCTAAGAAATACGGAGACGTGTTCAGTGTGAAGCTGGGTATGGTGGATGTGGTCGTGCTGAACAGTCTGGACGCTGTAAAGGAGGCTTTCGTGAAGAAAAGTGCAGAGTTCGGAGGAAGACCCAAAACACTGACAAGTAAGAAAATCATAACCACCAGTGATCAGAATGTAAGGTACAGGAGGCACTAGGCTGATGCCATTTCCCTATCTGCCTCTCTACTGCTGTGAATGCATACATTCTCATCATGACTACTACAGAAAGGGTAATATTTTTTATTAAATGAGTCGACAATGATCTGCATGCTTGTTGCCTGTCGATTGTGATGGTGCATACATGGTGTGTAGCAAAAATGTTATCTTCTGTTGATTAATTAAATGTGTTTGCACCGATAACCATAAACCGATAGGGGTCCTGCCTCCAGTGCAGATCTCGCCTATTTCACACAGTTCGGGACATATGTGTACACATCTTCTGTTATCAACAATTCTTTAATGTAACATTATCACGAGTTTACCAGTGCAAATGTACAATTGCCAGAAATATGTTGCATTTCTTCTTTTATTCATTTGTTTCTATCTTTCAGATGAGATATTGACAGAAGGCGGGAAGGACATCGCCTTCACAGATGACAGTCCGACCTTGAAACTGCAGCGGAAACTTTTCGTCAGCGCCCTCAGGTGAGATTGAATAGAACTGCAAGTGCAAAGGTTAAACAGGTTCTAAAAAGTTTCATGAAAGACCCATCATATATCATATCATATCATATCATATCATATCATATCATATCATACTGTAAGTACCCTATTGATTTGATCTTTGATACCAAATTCCAGGACGTACGCGTCTGGAAAAAGCCTACAAGCCATAACACACGAGTCTTTGAAGGACATCATCGCTGATTTTACCGACATGGAGGGTGAACCGGTCGATCTTGAGGACTACATGTATAAAGTTGTATACAACATCATCTGTGCCGCTTCGTTTGGTGTCAGGTAAGCTACTGGATACTGCATATAACATCGTCTGCATTTTCACCCAGAATGCGCATAGGCTTGGCATCATATCATCCTTTGTATCAATTTAAGATATATTGGTTTAATATTTGTTTGATTCGAAGGAGCTGCTTCATTTCACATATTTCGTTCCATTCATATTTCCATTTTCGACAGGTACAAAATGGATGACAGTGATTTCCAACATCTGCTGCAGATGAGTAAAGATGGTCTGGAAATTCTTAGCGGCGGACTTCTTGCTGACATTTTTCCTTCTCTTGCCTTCCTCCCCACCCCTGGTAAGTACCAGACATACACCCTTTTCTTAAAAAATCTACAACCCATATCATGTTAACATTTTATATGATAAGGATTTCTACGAAGATAGTTACTTCTGGGTACGGCAGTATTGTTTTGAATGGGTTCGTCTGTGGGTTTGTGTGTATGTTTGTTGGTTGACAGCACATGGAAGATTAACAAGCAGAATGACAGTTCAAAAGGCCAGATACAGGAAATTGGATGAAATTGAAGGTACCAGATTAGGTCCCAGAATCTGGCCTGGAGCCGGTAGGTATGATGGTCGCCGTGGGGGAATTCAGGACTCCGGGATTGCACAAGCAGCCCTCTGTCGCTGCAAATTTCTGTCCTAGTCCCGATGAAAGTACGTCATAAAATCCGCTCGGTTATTTCTATTATAAAAATTCAGGAAAACCCCAAATACCCCCATGCAATTTCTTGCTGCTTCTTGTTTGCTTTCGACAGCCAAGAGTGCTTGTCACAAGATGGCGGCCAATTTCATGGAGTACTTCAAACGTCAAGTGGACCAGCATCAGAGGACATTCGACCCCGGTAAGAACTTTGAGAGTACTAACAGAATTAATTTTATTTGGAGCATAGAAAATAAGAATAAAGTTGAAAATATTGATGAATTTTATATAAGACATTCCACAGTTTTTAGTACACACGTGCAGACACAATGGATGGCCTTAAACTTTGACCTCAGACCACAATGCATCATGACTGCACACGCGCACTAGGAACTGAGACACGGGCTCATTGGATTCGTTTCAGACAACCTTCGTGACATCACCGATCACATGATCAAGGCTCAGAAGGACGCTGAGGAGGAGGGGATCCAGGACGTCAACTCTCTCACAGACACTCACCTCAGGCAGACCATTAGCGACGTGTTCGGTGGTGAGGATGACATTTTATATTGATGTGGTCACATTTCAGCTTGAAAGTTTGTACTTTTTGGTGACGCCTCAGGGGGAACCTAATGGTGTACAGTATTGTGGGCAGTTTGCAAGAATTATAGGAATTGTACGGGAATTGTATCCATAGACATGGAATGTCCAAGAATATGTACTTTGTTGTGACTAGATTTTACTGGTATTAGAAAAAGAGAAAAGCTGTACAAGGCGTATTATTTGTGTCTATCCCTTGTCTAGGGGGCACGAACACGACAATCCACACCCTCCGCTGGGCCGTCCTGTTCCTCGCTGCCCACCCGGAGATACAGGAGAAGGTGGCTGCTGAGTTAGACAGTGTGGTGGGCCGTGACAGGCTGCCTGAGCTGTCCGACCGCGAGGCTACTCCGTACACGGAGGCGACCATCCATGAGGTGATGAGGAAGGGCTCTGTTACCCCGACATCTTTGCCGCGGGCCACGTCTGTAGACACAACTCTGAGTAGGTGCTATTTCACGTAAAATTAAGCTTCCAAGAAATAGTCTATTAGAAGATACATTTTTGTCCCACGTTATAACAGTCGCCAAGCCGGCATGTTTTTGGTAGGATAACCGGAAACACAATATTTGTCCCTGGAATAGTGGAGTTGATTTTTCTACTGCACATAGGTTGTCGGAAAAAGTTTGTTGAAGTTATTGAAAATTGCAAAATATCTGATTCTTTGTGAATAGATTTTTGGCTCTCCTCAAACTAGAAACTTTTTGTTTTTCATGACTTATTCGTTCATGTGCACAAAACTCTGAGGTATCACAATAAAGCACATGTTGTTGATATCAACTATCAACTTCTCTCTAGGAGGTTACCACATTCCTAAGGGTACATGGATCATACCGAACCTGTGGGCCCTGCACCATGACCCTGCTATCTGGGGAGACCCTCACACCTTCCGCCCTGAACGATTCTTAGACGAGGACGGACGGCTCATCTCCAAACCGTCCGCACTGATGCCTTTCAGGTATTAAATCAGTAGACACTGATCTTTCATATTCCGTTCATAACGGAAGAATATGATACTAGTACAATGTATGTTTTATTCTCACGTGCGCGAGAAATCTCGGTATACAGACAAGAGAGAGAGAGGGAAAGACATTGACACACAAAGAGAGACAAGGAAAGACACTGGTACACGAAAGTAGACAGCTAGGGAAAGACAGAGACACATGCCGGATAAGCAAACAAATACAAATATGGAGAGTGAAAGAGAGGGTATAGGGAGGGAGGAGAGAGAGAGAGAGAGAGAGCGATAGAGAGAGGGGGGAAGGACCGGGAGGAAGGCAACGTAAACTTTACCTTTATGATAAAGTACAAACAAGTTGTGAGTTAATGTAATAGGCCATGCTGTATCTGCCCCAGTGTTGGACGCCGTGCCTGTCCCGGTGAGGCTGTGGCCAGGGCAGACATGTTCCTCCTGATGGCGGGACTGGTCCAGAACTTCCGCTTCTCCATCCCGGAGGGGGAGGGTCCTCCTGACCTAACAGCCGACAAAGACGCAGGAGGAGGGTTTGTGTGCGTGCCTGTCCCGACCAAGGTGGTGATCACGTGCAGGAAGTGATCGTGTGATCAGCCTGGAGTGGAAAGATCCCAAAATATTGCTTATCAATACTCTAGACATGCATTAATTACATATGTAATGACGTCATATTCCATTAAATCATGACTTTCTATGTTGGCATGAATGCACGCATGTAATCTTAACTGAGTGTCTGGTATGTCTTTATGTATGTATGTATGTACGTATGTATGTATTGCTTTATAATTATGGTACAACGCTCACAGTTGGTATCGTACACTTAGTTATGTGGAAGACGGAACACGACCGGTGATTTCATACTTCAATGAACTATTTAGAGCTTTAGTAAATTTCGTTATTTTATTTTATCACATTGATTATGGATAGACTGTTGTAATTATCACAATGAATTTACTCTACTCAACTCATACGTTTCCTATCCTGTGTAGAATTCTATCATGTCAACATTCATCATGCATTATGCAAATAACCCCACATTTACATAATATATGCATGGTGGTGTTTATTTTTTAGCTTATATACTTAAGTTATACATGTCACAGATATGAAATTCTCCCATCACCCTCTTACAAAATACTCCATACCCCAAGGAAGAATATTCAATACACCATCATATATTCAAATATCGTCAGAAGGGATTAGACTGAACTTCTTTTTTTATATTTCTAACTTTCAAAAACTGGAATACATTATTGCAAAAAGATGAGATAAGGTCCAGAAGCATATTGGGAAGTAGGGTAAACTTTACATTGTCTTTTCGATTTAAGTTGTCCTTGTTTATTGTATTCGATAGGGTTTTTCATTTCTTACATTATTTTCTCTTGAGATAATAGACCATTGCCTCCTGATTTTACATTTGAAACTGTTTTGTGGTTTCACATGTTTGTTACTTATGTTATATACGGCCATGCTTTCTGTTCAATTTTATCTTTAAAGATGTCAATAAAAAATACCCATCACCTAAAGTCTAGCTTCAAATATCTAACTTATACAAGTACAATACATGTATCTAATCATACATCTAACTCATACAAGTACATGAATTTCGACCATTACTTATGAAAGGAACAGAATATCATTCAATTTTCATCTTCCCGACTTGGCAAAGAGTTGCCATTTTTTTCTTGTCTCAAATATAAATTCAAATCGTAATCTGCACACTGATTATATATTATATATGCCAGCATGTTATTGTTTTTTTTCTCTCCAATTCACCCTATGCTGATGGCAACTTCTGCTCCTTCGAGCTTCCACCAATCACTTCCGGTGGTCCTGTATCTATTTCCGGTAGGTCAGGACCACCTTGTAGGGTGCAGGTTGGCAGACTTCTCCACCTCCCTCTTCACTGAGCTGAGGTCAGGAGGCGTCTCTCCCTCCGGGAAGCTGAAGTGGAAGTTTTGGACCAGTCCTGCCAGCAGGAGATATGTGTCCGCCATGCCCATTTTCTCCCCTGGACACGCACGACGGCCAACACTAAGGAATACATAAACAAGTGATTATCACAAGGTGAATGGTACAAAAGTCAGAACTTTGTGAACTTATGTCATTTGGCCTCTGTACACTTCAAGAAGCCACACAGGCGAAAGCGGTCGTGTGACAGGCTGAATAAAAGTTCTAAACGGGAACTACGCGGCTCCAGATGTCTTACTAGGGACGTCGACGACTGCCTATGCGAGATGTCGGTCAGCTTGAGGAATGAATAACCTCTTTTATATTCTACATAGGCTTTGGTTGCACATTCTTTCTCACACTCTTTCTCTAGCTGATCTGCAAGTAGCTCTGAGCCATGAGACTGATTTGAAAAAAATACCAATAGTACCAATAGGAGCTCAAGATTCTCCATCTTCATCTGTGAAAATTGGTCCAATAGAAGTTCATGAATCTATGAAAACCAGCCACCACAGCCTCCAACACCGGTCCTAATAATATGCATAAAAGAGCTATAGAAATGACCAACATGTGCGATAGAATCATACTGACCTAAAAGGCATCAAAGCAAAAGGCTTCGGCATCAGATTGCCTGTCTCATCCAGGAAGCGTTCCGGGCGGAAGGTGTGAGGGTCTCCCCACGTGTCCGGGTCATGGTGCAGGGCCCACAGGTTAGGCAGAACCTCTGTGCCCTTGGGAATATGGTACCCTTCTGTGGGAAACGGAGGTACAGGCTTTGACTAATCGTGTAAAGATGCTGGTAGGCTCCTCGCACACTACAGTTTTGAATGTATTGAATGTATACATAATATCTGGCGTCATAATTCTTGGCCAAAGTCTATGACCAGGTGTATGAATTGTATTCACGGTCTGTGCAATGTCACAATCGAGTCAGTGAGCGTCAGTCGAGCGTCATTGAAAAAGGAACGAATTGGTGTACGAATTGATTTTCAGAACGATCTTACTCTAAATTAAACTCGACCAAATTCGATCATAGCAAACAACCTGTTTTGCACACTACGTCATTTTGAACAGGGCATGGGGTTCCATATCCCGTACTTTTTGGAGTGAGAATAATTTTTTAATACATTAAACTCACGCAGTGTCGTATCTGCAGTCGTAGCATGAGGTAAGGACAATGGATCTATCAGTCCCATTTTCAGCACTTCGTTGACAGTCGCCTCCGTGTACGGAGTAGCCTCGCGGTCGGACAGCTCAGGCAGCCTGTCACGGCCCACCACACTGTCTAACTCAGCAGCCACCTTCTCCTGTATCTCCGGGTGGGCAGCGAGGAACAGGACGGCCCAGCGGAGGATCTGCGTTGTAGTCTCCGTACCACCTGTATTAAAAGTTGTAAGTTGCAAGTTACTAGGAGTTATTCTCACCAAAGGGAAAAGAGGCTGTCTCTACAGTTGTACGTTTGTGTTCTAAAAATGAATGGCTGTCTGTACAACACCAGGAGACTATATGTATATGTATGTGTATCTGTATCAGATCTGTATAGCCGGTATCGGCGTAACACACCAGCTGTAACAAATATTAGAGTTAGGGTACCCTGAGGTGGCAAGAGACATTTTTGATCGGGAGGCATAGTCTGGCTTATCAAATAGACATACTTGACAAATGCTTTGTACAAAGAGACCTTATGTCAAACCCACCAAGAAAGACATCCGCCACAATCTGCCTGAGATGCGTGTCTGTCAGAGCACTGGTGTCCAGGTCTCCCCTCTCTTCTGCCTCCTTCTGGGCCTTGATCATGTGATCTGTGACGTCACGCAGATCATCTGAAGTGAAATAAACATAGATAAGACTGCCGTGTCATCGTGCTGTCGGTCAGTATCAGTCTGCGAAGAACCCATTTTCTTTGAAAGACATTGAAAATGCCATTCTAGCTTTGTGTGTGGCTTAGTAAGGTACGTGTGGTTAGCTAACCAATGTTAGCATTAGCTGACCAATGTTAGCCTCAACATAGCTATTCATAATATTGTGATAGAATTGAAGGACAACTAGCAAGCAAAAAAAAAAATACACCTGTTTTGCTGTTGGTGAGGCCATAGGGATATCATTCTCCTGACATGAAGTGTTCAATCTTAGTACATACCACCATCAGGCTGACACTAGAAGTTGAGTTGTATGCATCACCACCATTACTCGATACCGTCTTACTTGGGTTAAACTCCTTGCGGTGCCGGTCCACCTGGCGTCTGAAGTACCCCAGTAAAACGTCCATCAGTTTCTGCAAGTCAGTCTTTGCTGTGTACAGACAAGTATCAGAGATCTATTGAAGCTTATGACTTAGTTAGCAACTTTATATATTCACCCCCTTCGCACTCTTTCTAGTGTCCCCACCCCCACTCCATGCAGCAGTTTGGGATGGAAACAAATTCATAGAGAATATATGTATATATAAGCCACCAGCTACATACCTTGATTAGGTAGGAATCCAAGTGAAGGGTAGATGTCGCCGAGAGGAGCATCTTGTTTGAAGAAATCCTCACTGAATTTCTTCAGATTCTGGAAATCTTCATCCTCCTGCTCGAACCTGTATACGTAAATATCATCAAAATATGAATATTTCTAACTAAAATTCAGAAGTGCATGTTACCGACACAACACACTGCCAAGAACTAGTGTGCGCATTTTGTTAGAACAACATAGGGGATTCAAAACACACACACACAATTCTCAGTCACTGACTAGGGTTCTCTGTCATCGCAGCCTCCAGCACTTAGCCTGAACTAGGTACGGCTAATCGCTGGAAAAAATAGTGACTACCTTGGTATACTACTCCATTTATTTTGGGCAATTTCTACTACTTTTCTACCGTAGAGGCTATCTGCTAATTGTCCTGACTGTCAGAGCTGTTGGCGATCAATCTTCTCAGGACCTTTAAAACCGATAGAAGGGCTTCTGAAAGCGTGATTTACCAGACTATATTAAAGAACTAAGTGTAAACAATAACCACTGATATCTTTACCTGACACCAAAGGCAACTGGACAGACAACATTGTACACCAGCTTGAAAATGTGGTCATTAAGATCCACTGCTTGGCCTTCGACGCTTGCAAGTTCACCGATGATGTCTTCAAGGGCTTCGTGGGCTTCAGTTTCCAAGGTCCTGCCCGAGGCGCGTTCCCTGAGGGTGAGAAGTGGCAATCAATCGTAAGACGGCTGACAATGGTTCACTAATCTTTCCTATTAGTTCCTATTTTAAACTAATCGTTAGACGGCTGACAGTGGTTCGCCACCCTTTATCCAATTTCGTTATCTTAGTTTGTTGATAATCGTTGTATTCGTTCGGAGTATCTGAGAACTAACCTGAGGGCACTTTTGACGATCTTCCTGTGCTGTTTCCAGGCCGGGCCGTAGTCTGTAAAGGCCATGTTTCTCCTGTTTTCCGTCCTAATGTCAACTACAACACAACATAACAACAAGGGTTTTCACTCTGATTCAAAGCGTAGTTGCATGGCATGCACTTCATAAAGTCTACCTTGTCTTGTGTAGATCACATTTCCAAACCGGTGCCCCACCGTTTGAATGTAAATTGTATAGTAAAGAGAGAAATGAACTGTATAGGTTTGTGCAAAAACCCATTTTCCTACTTCATACACTTTTAAAAGCACTGTAGAAAAGTCCTAATGCAAATAGACAAACCTTCCAACGAAAACATATATGTTCCTCTATTATAACTAAAAAGCGATGAGACGTTAAATTTATTTAATGATACTTAGTTTGAGTTTGTATAATGTTCATCATATTTTGTTGTGACCTGTACTTGGCCCATTGTGGCAACAATGTTCAATAATGGTCGTCATTGGTGGTGGTCTCTTGTTAACATCGACAGGGCCCCCAATGGGTCACGGGTGATTTTTAATCGATGACAAACTTTATTAGAAAAAGATAAAAAAGGCCATGCTTTTCTGACCAAATTTATTTTTCGTATGTCAACACTGGATGCATATCACATATGGGAGCCGTACTCACGGGACTGGGCATGCGGCCTGCCTGCAAACTCCACACTCTTCTCCACCAAAGCTTCCCGCACGGCAGCCTCGCTGTTCAGCACGACCACGTCCGTCATGCCCCGTCTCAGGCTGAACACGTCTCCGTACTTCTTGGCGAGTTCGATGAAGGTCAGGTGGAATTTGCCTTGAAACGCTGTAATATAATATTCAGTTGCTGTTCATGTCCAACATAGTAGAATATCAGAAGCAATGTCTTGGTTGTCACGTTCTGGTTCCCTTCATACAATGTATGAAATGAGCATTTATAGTTATTTTAATATCAAGATTTGCTATTTCTATGGAACATATACTAGTAGCTGGTATCTACTTCTGGTAGCTGGTGTGTTACGCCGAAGGGCGTTTATACCGGCTATACCGATACAGATACTTCAATGTAATGTTGCCACTAAAAATGCGCATAGTTCTTATTCCTCTGGATACACCGGCAAAAAGCGGACCAATTTCTTTGTATAGTTTTCTTTTTAACCCATATTGAATAGTTAGATCACTTTTTAGTACTTACCGGAACGATTTCCAATGATTGGCCATGGAATCGGACCTGGGGGCATCCGCCGCCGCCTGATACAGTCCTTTAACCAGGTTACGAAAAGTATAACCAACAGACTTGTAGACAGCGTTATGAACCACATCATCCTGCAAGGAAATGATTCGAAAATGCAAAATCAGGGCAATGTAAGGTTACGATACCGCGAGAGGGAAAACAACACAGCAACTACAGACAACTACAGATACAATTGCATGATATGGTGCCTGCACAACAAACATGCACACACACAAACACACACACAAACACACACAAACACTCAATGACATACCTCAATCGGCTTGTCCAAGAGCTTGCTTTGAGTTGCAGGCAAGGTCCAACACGGCTAGGTGTGCTGAGTACTCGTACCGGTCGGCCTGGGTGACATATGGGGTCTGGTCTTCCTGGTTTATTCACGGTCGTTAACTGTGACACTCTCACTCGTTTGTGTGGATTTTAAACCAGTCTAGTTATGCACAGAGAATAGGTTTGCCGTTGGATGATAACACTTTCACTTTGTGATCTAGTGTTGTTTTGTCTTTGTGTTTTTTTTTAATGTTTGTAGCCCCACCGGGCACCACCCCCACCACCCCTATGGATAGAATAGTCTAGTCCTGATGTAAATCTGGGGCATTATACGAGTTGTCTGTCGGTGACAGTCAGTGCACAAGAGTCTCTGAAAGACACAACATATTTATTGATGGATGCATAATTGTAGGTAATTTATACTATTGCACGCCGATTCATATCACTGCATATTGTTGAGGAGTCTGTGAGCAATGTCTTTTTGGTGGCAGGACAGACCAATTGATATCGCTTGTCCGGTTCAGCAAACAAAACAACGAGGGGCGAGGGGCGTTACGCTCAGCGGCGAGAACACATGTCACTAACCTAAGGCTTATTAAAGAAAACAAGTTAAAATCAGAGCCAGGAACTCCTAGATCGATAATAATTACAACCCTTTTGATAAAAAATTCAGATTATTTGCGAAATAATTTGAGAGATTATGGTGCCGACTTGTCCTGGGCTTGGTGCCGAGTTCTCCTGAATAGCCAGGGGCCGAGTTGTCCCAGGGGCCGAGTTGTCCCAGGGGTCGTGTTGTCCCAGGGGCCGAGTGTCTTGGAATCACGACACACTTCGATTACTTCTCGCATTGCATCAAATGACTCTCTACACGTCATCCCTGCATTGACTCAAATTGTCGTTTCACTGACTACATAATCGAACTCCTACTATACTTCCGGGTATTCAATAGATAGTGATTCTCAAGCTGAAACAAGTTACAAATACAGATTTACAGTGTCTTTCGTGCACTGCGAGTTTGTAGCTATACAGATAATACTACAAGGTATGGAGAGCTCTAAGGGCTTTAAATGTACACAACAAACCAGAGGTGAATAAATGGACACGAAACAAAGCATCAACGTCCTGTATTGTAATCCTAATTACCTTCGCCATAGGACTATGTTATCGGTAGAGCTTGTATGTGTGTATGTTTGTGTGTGCTTATGCGGTTTAGCACGATAACTCAAGAAGCTATGGATTTATTATCATTATACATTGCGTTTATTGACTTCGTTCATTTACATATTAAAATACATGGCAGCTTCATTTGTATACAAAGAGGCTGAATTGCACATTTTAAGCATAATCTATATATTACATGATCAACATGATAATAAATCTATATCTACTAGTATATTAAATGATCAACATGATAACAAATAATAAAAAACATGTATACAATTACATTATCAGATTATGATGATGACATTATAAGGAATTGAAAAGGTTCTTAATAAGCTGTAATAATGAAAGGTGGGCGTTCAAACGTTTAGATTTTGCCATAGTACTGCAGCGGAATTTACAGTTTTGATATTTCGTGATCACATATGTGAAAGGACACAGCAATGTGCCTGCAGCGCTGCTTTACTTTTCCTTCTTCTGCTGTGCCGTCTTCGTGCCGGTATTTTGGTACATGGTCATCAGAGGCAGCAGCACCCTGGTGGCGAACATCTCCTGGGGAAACAGGCTCGCGATCCACAGCTGTGGAGAGGACAGGGCAAACGATAAGGAAAGGTTACGCGATCTTGCACTTGAGACGTCACGGCAAGCAACCTGATAGTGTGTATTATCATCATCATGTCGACCCGGTAGGACTCTGCTACTCTCTAAGCAGAGGTTTGGGTTTTGGATTACGTTTATCGGGGTTTCTTTTTTGCACTGGAATTTTTTTCACTTAACCCAACACGCCAAATATCACCCAAAAGCCAAACCTCTGCTTGGAGAGTAGGACTCTGCACCAGTCTCGTCTACACCACTCTATCTACAATGGCTGACTTGAGGTCTTATGGTATACATAATGCATATATAATAGTAAGTATTACATGTATGTTGCTGATACAGTTGGTGATTTTGTTTGACAAGCAACGTATACGTAACTTAACTGAGTCTACTGTTGCAATGACTGACACGACATTCCAATACGCTCCTCCTCCTTAATTACCATGAAGACTTGTAATAAAACTCTACAAACCTGCAAAGAATGTGCGAAGTAGCCACAGGTTAGCCCCGTGAGCCCGACTGTTGTCAGGGCAGAGCGAACGAAATCCGCCGGGGTGGGGATGGTCGCGTTGACGGGTTGGTTGTCGCTCATGTTTGTGGACACAGTCCCGGGGATGACAGTCTAGAAACAAAACAAGAACTGAAGACACTGTGTCTGCTAGTAGGCGCAACTACATACAGAAAAGGTCTGGCCACGTTTTCACACTTTTTCCACAAGTCAGGACTGGACCCATTTTTCCACCAACCCCTTTCAGACATAGATATGATTTTTGACAATTTTCTCAGTATGCACATGCGTGAGAAATGTTACAATACCTGGGTACAGGAACTGAACTTATTACCACTTCATAATGTCAGCCACGTGATCAAACCACGTATTGGAGGTCAAGTTCGACTTTGGTATTCTATAGGCATGTATTGTGATCAAGGCTTGATGTGATTAAAAAATTAAAAGAAATCCATACCTGTACAATGATACCCTTTCCCTTGTACTCCACGGCCAAACTACGAGAGAAGTGCGTCACAAAGGCCTGAAATTGTGGGAAAAGAAAATTCTCATAGCATCATTTCGTCCAGCATCATAGCGTCATCTACATTTTAGGCGTTTCCGACAGTTATATTTCACCAGTGAACTGATGAACGAAATCAGGAAAGACAATGAATGCTATCTGAAACATCGTCGGCTTCGCAGGCACGCTAGCTTTATTACACTGTAAGACCTGTTACACCCAACCTTTGCGCAAATTTTGCATGATGTCAAATTTTCATCGGCGCACATGAAAGATAGTGCATGTGGGGTTGTGTTCCGTAGCGGCAGCGTGCTCGACTCGAAACCAAGAGATCCCGGGTTCGAGTCCTGACATGCTACCGATCTTGTGCCCTTGGGAAAGGCACTTGACATGACTTTCCTGAGTATTGTCTTGTCCTGTATACGTCCTATGCGTTGGTGGCAACATAAAATGAGTTGATATAACTTGAGTGTGCTGTCACCATGTCTAGTCATGACATGTTGGAATATTAAAAAAATATAGTGCGTAACCTGTAACAAACCTTGGTGGCTGCGTAGATAGTCAGCAGAGGAAAGGGAACCGTACACGAGGTAGAGGAGATGTTGATGACCACGCCATGTTTCCTGATAGGCAACACAGAGATTATCGGATGTTTTGCACTCACGTGACTATGACGTAGTATTGTCCGCCATGTTAAATGCTTAAACCTGGAAACTGTCTACTAGATCTGGACGTATGTAATATAAAAATTTAATAAAGATGACATTACCATGATGAGCTCAAATTGAAATATGCGCAATTACATGACAACTATAATACTGTCAACTAGACCCTTATAGATATACACATACCAATCCATACAGTACGTTCTAGTATTCCAGATTGAACCAAGCAAGGTATATTGGAATATGGGTTGGCAAATGGAATTTTGGGGTAATAATCTGTTGATTGAGACGCAAGCAGTTTGACGTTACAATGATGGGGAAAAACTACTAGTAGAGATGTTGTATGCAGCGCAGTGCTAGTATTATAGGTTCCTTCCAAACGTATCGTGCCTGGAGACGTAACCAGACTGGAGATAGTGCTCTGTGATTGGCTCTGCTTAATATCAAGGCTTGTTTGGCACATGCAATCAAAGCCAAGTACAGAAAGAATGGCATCTTACCGCTCCACCATTCCTGGCAGCACAATCCTGGTCATCTGAAAATCGACGTAACTATTTATACAATGTTTTCATTTGCTTCACTGTGGTCATAATCTCATGGGGCAATTGATGTATATGGCTCTGGCCAGAACTCCTGTTTCTTCTTCTGTCAATCAATGAAACAAACAAATAAATAACCAATATGTTTTATTTATATTTTAAAGTAAGGAACAAATTATATGGCACCAAACAAACCTTGATCATGGACATCACATTGACATTCACCATCTGGTCATACATCTGGATTGTAAGAGAATCAATATGTTAGTCAGAATACACTACACATACTTTACCAATTACAAACATTTGTAGTACAAACAACTCATTTACAATGGGCAATGGGCAAATCAGGTATGATAATTCACACTGTATTTCATGGCCAAAAATGCAACTTCAAAATTTATAAATGAATTACCAGTAACCTTGTCTTTGTGTCTTTGTAGGAGACGTGTTTGTTTGTTTGTTTGTTTGTTTTCTACTTCTGTACCTACCTTCTCATCTATGCCTAGGAAGAAATCTGCGGGTGCTCCCGTGCCTACATTGTTCACTGGGGATAGAAAGATAGAAACGTTAAGTTGACCTTTGACTCTAGCTCTCAGGTCAGGTGACGATCCTTCAGAGCTTAAGAAAGATGACGGATGCTGATTCTGAAACCTGAACTATATTTCAAATAGCCTAAATTCTCATCGACATTGATTGTTAGTTATTGTTTAATCCCTGTATTTTCCCTCGGTTTAGAGTTAGTTTTCCAACGGTCCTATCTTGAAACGAAAGGAAGGAACGACAAGAAGTTACTAACCAAGACAGGCAATGTCGAGTCCCTCCAACTGATGTTTGATGTTGTCGTAGATTTCAGTTGAACCAAAGTCTGCAACGACTATCTTTGTTTGGACACTGGATTTTTCTTCTGTGAATTAGAAGAAATTGAATCCAATGTAGGTTATTTGAGATGGTCTGAAGATATTTATGTGTCCAAGCTACGATACATAAAAATGCAAAAAAGGACTCCAATATGGCGGCGAACACAATGGTGACGTCACACGAAAACGCTTATATCAAGAAATAAGAACAAATGAAAAACCATTATAATGATATTTCCTCTCCCCTTATAAGCATCAGCAAAGTAAGACAATGATGCTTGCTGGACGCACCAATTATTGCTTTATTTGGAATTTATGTATTATTTGAAGAAACCAAGTAAACAAGAAACAGATGTTTACCTATGTTTGCTGCTACAGTCTTCAGTTTATCTTCTGATCGGCTGATCAGGACAATGTTCAACCCACGAGCTGCGAGCTACAAGAATTTTGTTTTAAAAAAAAGAAAGAAATGCCCACTGAATCAAAACACATGGTGATTTGCACATACTTGCAAGTACGAATAAAGAACAATTCGGAAGTTTTATTTTATAAGAATGTAGCCTGGCTACCAAACCTATTATAGCTCCCGAGTCCTACATCCTATTTGCGGAGAGGATGTAGGACTCGGGAGCTGTAATAGGTTTGGTAACCAGGCTAATAAGAATGTCTAATCTTCATAATGCTATGATTTGCATCATTCCAAGTAAGTCACTTTTCTTTTACACAACCACACTCACACACACCAATTGTACTTCCGGATAGGCAACTCTGTTCAGATTGTTACCACGTGTCCTTATATATGCTCACCCTGGTTTAGAGTTTTACAGCTCACGAGGTCCCATTATGCTTTTTTTTATATTTGCACCACCTGGCGATTTACAGAAATACTGAACATCTAGTACTGTATTTCACACACACGTGTCCTAGCTTCCTCCCATATGGATAGAGTGGCACCAGAAGTAAACACATGCACCTTACCTGTTCTGCATATTCCTTGCCTATTCCATCGGAGGAGCCTGTAACAACTGTAACAAAAGTTTAGACTCTCTTTATGTACAAACGTGTGAAAATGAATTACAAGAAGTCTACAAACAACACGATTCAAGCTAGGGGGTAAAGTATTCACTTCGATGAAAGGTCAAGCACCTTACTCATTGTTATAACTATTTATAACCAACTTCTTATACTCCCTTCTTACCTGCCCACCTTCCTGCGTAATTTCGAAAGTCCAGGGACAGCCCAAGAGGTCCAGAAAGCAGGTAGAGTCTTACTGTCTGCCAAATGCCCCACGACACCTTGAGGCCGATATACGACAGTGCAACTATCCCGACAAGTTCCAGCGAACTGTCGACGAACAGCGCCATGTTGTCCGCTCTTATCGGCTTAATAAGTAATGTTTGAAAAATGCCTCCTTGAAGTTAGGTCACGGTAACTTGTTTACACAACGTACTTGCTGATCTAAAATGTAGCAATGCTGAACACATTTTGGTATAAAAATCTGAAAAGTATAGACTTCTATTCCTTATTAGACTTATATTCATTTCGAGTTATATGATGTATTCACGGTTTGACCACGAACGGGATCTGAGAGGAACGATGTCGTTGTACAATATTTACATTTCTCAGAGTGAGCACAGTGCTAATATTGCAGTTACGCCCCCTGCGACTTGTTCTCACACGGTTCTGGGACGCAAAATAAAATAAACGCAGTCCATATTTGGGACCGCATTGTAGATACATTTTTCTGTATATGTGTAGATATGTAAATATTGTACGTTTGGGAATACATCTATAACAGCGACACCTGTACTGCAGCGCAATGTGAACCAGTCAGAATTGTCCTGAGAAAGGTGACAGACGGTCACCGAAACGTCGGCTGAATAAAAGACTTGGTTGTGTAAAAAGAGCCTCTTTACTCAGTGACGTATTACCAACCTGATAAAACTATTCACGGATCGATATATGACATGTATGAAACGGGATCGAATCGCGTTCCCCGTAAGCTCTACATATGTCTGTCTATTTTACCATGAGCAAATATGGAATAGAAGGTCATAGAAGGACGGATTCATACTTGAGTTATCTGACTCAGAATGAGATATAGGAAATTTCACACATACATAACATTTGAAATATGTTCTATCATTGTAACTTACATCAAATACGTGAAGAGATTTGTCAAACAAAATCTTCGACTTTATAAACAATGCACAAGTTTATTTCATTCTTATTAATATTAGATCGAGTGTTTCAATAGTAATACATGTATCTTGAGAAGTGACAGCATGTGTCATATCATATATAGCATAAAGACTTTCTTCAGTAACTACAGTATTGTTTATCATATGATGTAGTTATAGCCTGTCTGTTGTTTTATGTTTGTATTAAGTACGTTGTTCTATGTGCCATTGATTTTTGTATGGTTGTAGATGTTTGTGTTATTTTCCCTTCTTGGACTGCTGACGTCGACCCTTCATACCAAACTCTCGGAGCCTCTTCATGGCAGGCAGCTTCACCCATTCACAGAACACGTCTTGAGAAAACAGGCTTTCTAACCAAATCTGAGGATGAGGATAAAACAGGTCAATATGGGAATTTATAATGCCACGTATCATTGTTTTTAAAACAATATTAGACCTCTACGGAAATAGGGTAGTGACAATCTTCTTTCAGTACAATGAAAATGGCCGTCATTGTAAATGTGTATTTTCTAGATCTGTAAACCCAAACACCTCAATATTCTTTGACAATGGGGGTGTGTGGGGGGTGTATGATGTAATTTACTCGTGTGCGACATCACTTCTTGGGTACCTTTAGCCTTGACTTTGAACTATGAAAACCATCACCAACCCTCTATACTACCACCGCTTCTTGGACACGAAACACACAAAGTCACAAGTCAGCCACCCAAAACAATACTTCTGAAGCCGGAAGTAAAAGTACTACTGACCTGTAGCGAGTGCGAAAAGCAACCCGATGTTTGATTGGCCAGCCCCACTGTGTTCAGGGCAGAGCGAACGAACGATGCCGGGGTTGTCACAAAGAAGTTAGTCGAAATGCGGCCAGTCATTTTGGTAGACACAAATGACGGTGTAACAGCCTGAAAAAATACACAACTCCACTCAACAACTAGTAAACGCATTAACGTAATACACACGCTCACACGTGCACGCACACACACACACACGCACGCACGCACGCACACACACACACACACACACACACACACACACACACACACACACACACACACACACACACACACACACACACACACACACACACACACACACACACACACACACACACACACACACACACACATACATATATGATGCGTACCTGTACAATGACACCCTTATCCTTGTACTCCACCGCCAAGGACTTGGAAAACTGCAATGCAAAGGCCTGGTAGTGAAAGAAGAACAAAAACATGTGAATGTCGCACGCAATGTTGTAAGTATCTCGGTAGACGAATTCATGATTTCATTTAATACTTTTCATTTCATAATCTGTATTGAAGGCGAGCTATTGTGGGGAAGAGTTGTATCTATCTATTGTGGTTTGTGATATATTATATTAGAACTTTATTGCATGACAATTGCACAAGTTACAATGTATGGCAAACTACATAAAGAGAGTAACAAACAATAAAATTAATGTTGGATAAGACCTAATGTCGAAGGATAACCTTAGTGCCTGCGTACACAGCCATCAGGGGAGCAGGAGCCGTTGCGAGTATAGAAGAGAGGTTTATAATCACGCCTGTCTTCCTGAGATAGAACATATGTCCTGTGATTATAAATAACATTGGTCCGTTGCAACTACTCTCCAATCAGAGGTTGGCGAGCGAGGAAGATTGTGGCATTTCTATCATATGATCCCGCGTATGTCGCTACACTCCACTGGTGGCAAAGTTTAGTGGAGACTATATGTTGTCACGAGGTATACATACATGTATGCTTAGATCGTATTCATGCACTTCCCATTTCAATGAAGCAGCTACTGACCACCATGTTGGTGTCCCTATTTACAATTCAAACCCATCGTAGCTCAAATTTCAGACGTATATTTTCTATGCAAATTTTAAGTGTCCTTCTATGAGTTGTGGCTGTGGACATTCAATGTTGGTTATTTGTTAAAGAGTGTAAGCTAGGATTCTACAATGCAAATAAGGACACCAACATGGCGGCGGACACAGGGATGACGACACGTAATAATACTCTATAAAAGGAATGTAACATGTTTTACAACTTACCTCTTCACCATTCCTGGCAGCACAATCTTGGTCATCTGGAAGTTTTAAAAATAACATCTTTACTTTTTAAAAAGCGTTTGTTTCATTTCTGCTGTAATCAATCAACCGCAGAGTAATGAAATAATTCAGCAAGCATACTCAATAAAACATACCATGATCATGGAATTCACGTTGCAATGCACCGTCTTCTCATAAACCTGGGGAGGATGGATATTTGATTTCATTTCAAATACAAACATTATTCGGTTTTATGTGGCATCGGTTCAAGCTTTCTACTAGCTTTCTAAATTAGTATAAAACAAGTTACTCATTTAGAAATCTAATATAATATTGATTCTCCTATGCTTACATTACGCAATAAAATTTAAAACATCAATGTCAGTCTGAACCATATTTTCATATATAGATAACTTTAAGTTATGCTAATGATGTACTTTTACTCACTCTCTCTGTCGTTAAACCTATTGCGAGAATTGAAATTAGAGTGTATTTGTTAGAGGAATATGTGTTGCTCGCTACTTGCACACAAACATTACCTCGTCCCCACAATTCAGGAAGAAATCAGGGATAGCGAACGGCGTCATGCCCACGTTGTTTACTGGAAAAGGGAAGTGAAGTTGAAAAGCTGTATATTCAGAACTTATTCGACCTCAGGTCTTTAAACAAACGACTGATACCGTTTTATTCAGTTTGGCAGACAAAAGTATTGGAAAATTTGGCCCATAAGAGATTTTAAAAGTGAAAACTGTAGTTAAAACTGCAATGTTTTGGCGTAAATGGCTGTACCGACATCAATAAGTGGACGCATATGAGTATGAAGGGAATCTATATTTTGTACATGCGTATGCAAACTGTTGCAGTTGAAAACAAACTGTTTCATTTGAAAAGAAATTTCTTAAACACCGCAGAGTATATTTCATGAAAAAATCCTGAATCATGTCCTATCTTCTAACTTTACGATAAAGATGTAATGGATGCGGTATATCTTTGATAAATCAATCTTTTTCATTTGATAAAAAAAAAAACACAAATCTACCATGTAAAGTGTCACTAACCAAGACAGGCGATGTCGAGTCCCTCCAACTGATGTTTGATGTTGTCGTAGATTTCGGTCGAACCAAAGTCTGCAACAACTATCTTTGTCTTGACTCCAGCTATACCTTCTGTAAATGAGGTTGTAGCCACTCATTCTAATGTTGCATTTTCTATTTTCTAGATTATTTTTCAATTGATTTTATTATGAGTTTCACTCCGTACCTTAGGTTGTGTAGCTCAGTTGGTTTGCAGAGTATGCAGACTATATAAACTTGGACAGGACAGTTCTAATGTGTCTTATGGCTGGAGGTGGTTTGCTCTGCCAGGTTTTACTGAAGGTTCCTTACCTATCTCTGCTGCTACAGCCTCCAGTTTGTCTTTTGATCGGCTGATCAGGACAATGTTCAACCCACGAGCTGCAAGCT